ACACTAGATTCGTTCGGAATGCTTTGTATGAATCGTCTAGGGCCACTCCTTCGTTCTCAATCGGTTCTTGCCAGGGAGTCAAAGCCCGCTTCACAGTGGATGCGAATTGCTCATCAATGTCGACTTGAGGTTTGTCCAGTTCTTCAACGAAAGGCGTTTCATCCTCCTTTTTGGTTTGCGCTGATGGAAGCTTTTCGGGTGCATCGGATCCCTTTGTGCCCCATGATACATCATGCCAGTTGCAAAATGCATAGACCATGAGAACATTGATCGAAGAAGGCATTCCGAGAAAATAGGCCCAGGATGAAGTGATCATATGCCATGGGTCGGCGTAGAGTATGCTAGCAAGGAAGTAGATTCCGTATGTTGAGACCAGAGCAATTAGAACCAGCCCACCCGTTGAGGAAATAAAGCCCGACACGAGTGCCGAAAAGCCATGATCGACATCAAAACTGAGATTTTCGGGAGTCATTGCCTGCGCAACGAGATAGAATGACAAAATGAGGAGATAGAGTTGGACGACGGAAAAGTAGAGGAAGGAGAGCGTGTACAGAAACTTTGATCTATGATTGAATGTTAGCTATAAACCCAAAGAGAGTACATATCTCTAGGCCCGGATACTTACCCTTTTGGGCGATTTCCAAGCGCTAGGATGAATTGAAGCATAAGGAATGTCAGATAACCAATTTTCAACATGTTATTGACAATTGGAGTAGCTTCATTCCCAAAAGGCCATCCTTTATTCTTGTTGGTCGCACTTGGTGTTCCTACAATGTCCAAGATGACGGAACTTGTGAGCCAGTAGGATGCTAGTATATGTTAGTAGTCTGGCATAGGACAAATACAAGCCCCAAAGAGCTCCATCAACTTACCAAGTGAAAGCCATGTCATAACTAGCTGGCAGATATTGTAAACCAGTTGGATATGAAGTAATAGCAACCGAAAGAGACTATGCCCACTTTTGTAGATCCGGTTGAAATGCATGACTGAATACAGCGATGCCGCAAAAGAGCCATTTAGCCATCGCCGCCGTTGACTTAGAAACTCTGCTGGTCGTTCCGGGACGTCTGTTTCTCCTTTGGATGCTTTCACGTATGTGAGCAGCCACTGGTTACCGGCCTTGGCGACTAGCTCGAAGCAAAGAATGCGATCTTCTGCAAGAAACATGTTCTTCTTGAAGATATTCATCCCATCAATTCCTTTCTTACCGAGTTTTTGAGCTAGTGTGTGATCTCCATGGAAGTACTGCTTAAGAGGCCTGCCCATAATAGCGCGATATCGATAGGCAGAAAACGCACCGGGAAGTACGCTCACATAGCCAAAACTGCTCTCTAGGGGTTTGTCCAGGATATTCGAGATTTTGTACTCGAAGTTTTGGGCCGCAACCAAGGGGTTGAGGAGCTTCTTCCATCGGTGGCCGAGAAGCGCGTGAATTTCACCGCAGGCCCCGCCGAGGTTCTTGTCGTTGTAGAAAGCCTGCCATAGGGCTAGCAAAGACTTTGGTCCGGGTTTTGTGCCAGCGTCAATCAAGATGCAGATCTCGGGATTCAAAATGCGCCCGAACGCATTGAAGAGCCATCGATGTGAGTTGATCTTCTTAGCATTCTTTTTCTTGAGGCAAAACATCATTTGTACCGGGGGCAGATTCCTTGGGTCGTCTTTGTATGGGCGCACGAGCTCTTGCTTCGGGGTAACCGACAACTGTGTGGTATACTCAAACTAGGAACCATCAGCGTTTGAACATATCCCTAGGCATTGGACCTCAGAAGGGCTGGGAGGTGGGAAAACGAACAATATGAGCGACCGTTTCTCTTCCATCCACATCTTGCTTCATCACGCCATCTTGGAAAACGCCAATGGTTGCCAGAATGTCAAGTGTGTTCTTATCGCAGGGATCCATGCCATCGAAGACAAGACAGACGACAATCTTCTGCCATGCGGGACCACCTCTGTCCCAGAATTCTGTCTTCTTCAATTTGACGATATCTCGCACGTTCTGCATTACCCCATGTAGGGTTCGGGCGGTTAGTACTTTATCCTCGTTGTAGTATGTGACGGCAATGAGAAGTTCAGTGTGCCGATTGTACATCGAAGGACGGAGATTGTAACCATTGCGTAGCGTGAATTCATCAGGATCACATGTAGCGGCGGTGTCTAATAAGAAAAGGAAAAGAAAAAGTCAGGCTATCATGATGGGGGTGAATCATCTGGCACATTGGTGCGACTACTCACATCTCATTTGCGTGAATTCTTCAGAAAGTTCTCCCTCCGCATCTCGATACTCAGGCTGGATAGCATTGCGTATAGGACTTGGTACCGGATAGTTGATACTCAAGACTGAGCCTTGCGTCAACTTAATTCGCCGGGTTGGATATCGACGGATGCTGCTTCCTTTGTGTCGTGGCTCCGACTCTTTGGAAGAGGAAACAGCGGAGCCCTGGTTAGGTAGGTTGTGTAATCTGACCTGATCGGGGAGATCTAGTGATTCCATCGACTCGGGTCTCGGGCTGTAAACCTCAGCAGATGAATAGTTGTACGGTCGATGAGGCACTTCACCCGAAGGAACTGGGTCTTCGAAGGGACTGATGGACAAGGCAGAAGAATGGGCTGGATGAAGTAGGGAGAGGTTGTGCTCATTTGAATGTCCAGTATTCTGGTAGTGACCAGGAATGTCAGATCAGTTCGGCTTGCCGCATGTCCACAGATTATGCAATTTCCACTTCATATACACTTACCCGAGGGGAATGACCATCACTTAGGTCGTCGATTTCATCACCTTGTGGTGCATAGTGAAATGAATAAGGTCGATTAAAGGGATTCATCACGTAGCAGTCTGGAACCAACGTGGAACAAGTACTGGAACTGTGTAAGCTGAAAGTCCGAAATGCAATCCCTGGAATCCCTGATGCCAAGCCGGTTCAAATTGATTGAGGTATGACAGGCTGCACAGATATGCGGACCAGACTTTGCATGAAACTGAAGTTTGAAAGAACTGAATGGTCTTCCTCTCTCTCCACTCCCATCTCTCCTCTAATGTGAAAGAATAACAAGCTAGGGTACTTCACCTCGCTCTAACTGAATTAACCTTGTATAGGCGGCTATTTTAAGCCGGAGCCCCACATCTTTGTTAGAGCGAATGGCCAATCAGATGACATATCCTCTTCCTTAGCGTGAGGCTAAAACACCCTTATTCTTTTCAACCAGCCAATAGCCGTCTTGCCAGCTCAGCCTCACTCAGGTTGGGTCTGTCCCACTAAACAGAAATTTCCCAGAAAACAGAGATTGTAAAAATTAGGTATCTTTTATATAGCATGTTCATACAAAAGGTACAAACACTCAACACCTTCTTTTCTCAACGCCCCCACTAGCTACATGGTAAATAGGAGTACTAGTAAATAATAGAAGTCTGGTTTAATTGATTTACTATTAAGATTAATTTTAGATTTGTAATGTGGAGGAATAGAGACTATATATATTTGAAAAAACCCGTACATAAAAGATGTATGGGAAACGTAAATGTTCTGATACTTGCAGAGTGCTTAATATTTCTTCTTAACGTTGCTACTAAATAAAAAAGATACTTCCTTTATAATATATAGGTGCTACTATATATTTCCTAATTGTTCCCAGGGCTGCGAAAATCTCAATCATAAATATACTATGTTTTTTGTGGAATTTCTGTATTCTGGGACGGACCCATTGGTACATATAGGGGCGGTAGGACGCTAAGTAAGCTATGTTTTTCAATTGCAAAGGTTGGTCAATACTTTAGTTTGTCAAAATCTACAATTTAGTATACCCTCGATCAAGAAGCTCTCCGTACCGAAGGTAAGAGTCGAATTCGCGTTAGCCGCCCCTTAATCCTATCTGAAAACAACCGTGCTACAATCATCTTATTGATTCGAAACGATCCCTTTATTCTTTATATTCGGTAGTAGTTATCCCGATTTATTTTAAATAAATCGGGATAACTACAAATAAATCGGGACTCGGCATCTATGTATAACGGCTACTCGCGCTTCTTATATTCCAAGGTTTTAAAGGAGAATGTACCTTTAATTTATATAGATTCGACGCGTATCTTTATATATAGCAATACTCTAGTTTAGAGAGCTTATCTTATTCGGGATTAGTTATAGGAGAACGGAATTGAGGCTATGGTTTAGCAGCCACATTTACCTGATTTAAGCCTTACTGAGTATATATAGGCTAAGCTTAAAGAAATGATTGATCGCCTAGATCCGTATCTTGACAAATTTGAAGATGCTAAAGAGGATCTAATTTATCATTTCGAAGAGCTAATTCATGCTAGACTGCGACAACGCCCGTTTTTGTGGAGACATTTTTAGCGTCGCCAAGACACATGCGGGCACTCTTGGCACGGTGGGTACTGCCAAGAACTAGTTATGTACATAAAATCGCCGAATAGGGTAATTTTTGCATTATTTTTGCATAAGGATGGGCGATGGGCGTCGAATTTCAAAAGGCCCACGGGCCGTGGACACTTTCTAGTGCCCATGGACGGGCGATGTCGCAGTCTAATTCATGCGGTATAGGCGATACTAGGCTAGGATTACTTTGATGGGTTGATTTCTAGCATGGGGCGTAGAGTGGAAGCTGTAATTGCAGCAAATGGATGATATACCAAGTTCACTAAATTGTATGAGATAGATACATATTTGATGGGGTGCGGGCCGTGCGGAGGCTTTTGTGGCGCGACTTGGGCATGGTTCATCTTTTTAATAAAAATTTTAGCATATTGAAATCGCCTTGCTAACCGACTAAAAATAACTTAAATTCCGTAAAATCCCACGAGGCACAAAATTCTGATTACGCCGAGATCTGGGGTCACTTTGAAGTGAGACATGCAGAAGTTTTATTATGTACCTTGAGACTTTTTTAAAGGCAAGGTTGAACCCTTTTAAGAATAAGTACGAGAACTGCTTATACCTTTTCTAACATAACACTCCCCTTAACGGACTTTCCCCATGCTATTCACAATGAGCTCACTTGGACTCTCCCAGTCACCGATGACAGTGGAGTTGAGACTCGACGAGACAGATTCAACCTACACTCACCAAGATACTGTATCGGGCGAGGTAATATTGCACACCGAGTCGCCGGCCGACTTGTCAACAATTGTCCTAAACTTGTCGGGAACAGCAACGTCCCGACTGACTCAAAGCAGACGCACAGAAACCCATAATGTACGTGCAAAAATGACTGTGCCAGTTGACCATTGCATTTTGATTATTGCAATTAACACTAGCAACCTTCAGCTGTTCAAAAAGTCCCATCGCTTGTTTCCTTCAGACCATTTGATGCATGATTCAAAAAGCTCCCGTGTAACTATCGGAAGCGGAAATCATACTCTCCGATTTTCTATCACGGTCAGTGCCAATCGAAATTAAACTTATGCCAAGTTGTACCTTACTAAATATTTTGGATTTGTTTAGATTCCCCAAGCGACCGAATGCTACAAAACCGGTCACTGGTCAAACAAACCACAAATTACATGTGCGAATATTCCGTGTTGGCCCCAAAGGAAATCCCACCTATTGAGGAAGACTCCACCCTCAACAGGGCACTCGGAGTCACTGGCCGAGATTCAATATTCCCTGAGTGTGGTTGTTACCGGCAAAAGCACAGTGAAACAGGTAAGCAACTGCCCGCTTTCTCCAGCGATTACTGGGCAACAGGAATTGCATTTAACTCATTGCTGATCATTATCAAGACCCGAAATATTCCATTCCATTCATTCGCAGACCCACTACCGAGCCAACAACCGTTTAAGCAGCAATGCTTCATCAGCATCAACCCACACATCCTCACCAGCGATTCGCCTTTATCCTTCAGAGTCGACACTGAGCTTCGAAACGGACCTTGCCTTTTTCTAGGTAACCCGATCCCTTTGGGTATAAAAGTTACAAAGCTTGGAGATTCGCATTGCAAAGTATTCCTGAGTGCATTTCAGACCATGCTAGCCGAAACGACACAAGTGAAAGTGCAAGGGACAACAGAGTCATCTACTAGCACGTGGATCGTGCAAAGCATGGCCAATATAAACTATCCGATAGGCCTTGTAGATGCACCTACGGACACAACGGTCAGTTTAAGGGATGTCATATGGGCCAACAACCGACTGCCCCCGGAGGTCACTTCGAGTTTCGAAGTGTGCAACATCAAGAGAACGTACATGCTCAACTTAAGGCTCGCATTTCTTGTTGGAGAATCCAAGGTAAATACAGAGAAGCTTTTGACCCTTCTTGATTATCTTGATCATGGCTAATACAATATTTTTCGTTCAGCTTCAGACAGTCATCCGAGAACTTGAATTTCCTGTCTATATTATGGGCCCAACCCCATCCCTTAAAGCATATAGTTGATAGTTGATTAAGGATGTTTTTACATCTCTTCCTTTGCTTGATCTCTCATCATTTCGGATATCTCTTTGTGCAGCCGTTTTTGTCTGGTATTCTTCCATATCCATATCTAGTGCTCTTTAGCTTTATCGAACTCTTTACGTATCGTATCTTCACTATATCTTTGTCGGATTTCATTGTCGGGCATGCTTTCTCTTCGTGTTCTAAAGCCGTTAAACAATTTCATTTACTTGATCACTGCACCCAAAGCCAAATACGGGGCCATATAGGAGGCGCATATTGTGTGGGGACCGGAACAAATGATCCAACTAAGTGCCGTCCAAAACATGGGAGTCCAGATCTTATGTCTGTACCTTTTACTTGGAATCTGAAATGCCGAACACCCAAATACCATAGGGCAAAAATGCACCAAGCCAGTGGAAATGGCAAAGAAACTCCGAAAAATCAAAAGTTGTCGACAACATGATCTGCGATTTAAAAATCCAATTTTCTTTTCCCAACTCCCATATCTCTACAAAAAAAAGGGGTATGCTGAATATCCATCAAATTAATGCCAGCATGCGATCGGCGGGCTGAAAACTCACTACCGCTGGGCCCTCCGAATACCAAGACCTCCGCCCAACTCAGCCCGACCCACTATGAACTGAGATCAGAGAATCAGGAGGCTTATACTCGGTACTCGGCATATTGTTTTAAGTATCTCTGTGGCAACAGCACGGAACGTACCTTCTTTATTTGCCTATTCGCGTGGAACATGCCTTGGCAGTTTCATATAAGCTTGGCACAATAACAAGACCGACAAGACCGACAAGGCCGACTAAAAATAGCCGGGTTTATTCTGGGGTTGGTGGTTCAATGAACGAATAGCTCATAAAACAGGGCCAAATGGATATAAAGGGTCATATGAACCAGGGACCCAATAACAAACCATTCGATTGAATCAAAAACAAAAATCAAAATTATCTCTCCAAATCTTTTTCTTTAATTTTTCCTTGCCTCAAAAGCTCAAAATCATGTCAACTACAACAACCACTGGAGCTTTGGCAACTAGCACAGGCTGTGGGACCTCAGCCCAGTACGAAATTCCCATCAAAGATGCATCATGTGGAGTTCCCAACAACGACAAGTACAAAGGATTCATTTCCCAATGCGCAAAGCCCGCAGCGGTGACTGCCTATGACAACGACTGTGCTCTCTATGCCCCGGCTGTCGATCAATCAGTCCACGAACTTACCGACTGCCTCTACAAAGCGGGCGTCGCCTGGAAGGACGTCTGGTGCTACGGAAATACCAATGCCACTGCAACGGGGACCTCGTACCCGACTTCAACGGAAACCTCTACAAAATCATCTTCTGATAAGACATCATCAGGTACTTCAACGGAGAGCGCGGCGACTAGCACAAGTACCTCTGGGGCGGGTTCATCTTTACCCAAGGCCCATACCAGCTTGAAGGCTGTGGTGCTTCTTTCAACTCTGTTTGCCTCCGCCTTGTTCGTCGGAGTCTGATGGCCTCCGGGGTGACTGCCTCTCTACTCAAGGCTCTTGCCAGATTGATGACTGTCATTTATTTTTCATTTTGTTGACCTATGCATTCGACATTCGACCTGTTTTTATCATGATACCTTTGAAGGGGGCGCAAACTATGCAATGTACAATTAGATTTTGGACTATTTTTACTTTCTTTTAACCAATCTTTATAGAATAATCAATGCTTTCTTTCTATTCCGATGCTTCAAACCCTGCTCTAGTCTTCCGGTCTGGGCTTAATTCATCTGATCACCTTGAGAGGGTGGCCGTAACTAGTGACTACCTTGACGGTAATGTTCCCTCTATATATGCCTTGGGTCGATTGGCTTGAGCCGTACTCCAATAAAGCTAAGTCTCAAACTATAATCAAAACAAAAACCAAGAAGTCTATAAGTAAGGTACAAGATGCATCATCAGTCTCCCAGTGAGTCGCTGTTTGATCTGAGGGGAAAGCCCGTTATCTAAACTGTCAGAGCCCAAGCCCAAACCTCAGTTGGGTCCACTGAAACTTGTACTGTCTAAATCATATATGCCCTATAAATTTCCTGCTCACTTCTTGATGCGCCTAAGAGCAGAACACAAACTCGAACAATAACCGTTAAGAAATATGTAGTGGAATCAGGAAATGTAACATGCGATAAGGCAACAGACTGCATGTTTATCCTTGTTTGTTCGGTCTTTGACAATCTTGCAATATTCGCATTTGTACCGAGAAGCCCGAGTATCCTACTCCGTACCTTGCACGGCCATTGGATGTATTATCCCCCTTGCAGCAATCCTTGGCCTCTCGTTGATTTGTGTCACAATCTACGGGCTTTAATGAAGAATAAGCAAGTTCAACTCATTTTTAGGCCTAAGTACCCCAAAAGGCTACTCGATGAAATTTTCCGAGCCATCTAAATATTTCTGCATAAACACCACGGCTAGAAATGCTGCTCGAAAAGGTTCTGGTAAGAAAATCATAATTTCAGTGGCTCGATAAGAAAGAAAAAATGGTACGCAGATGTCAAGAATTCTGAACTCTGCCGTGGCGCGTCTGGAGTAGTCCAGCATGGACCAATTTTCAACAAGCAGCACATAATCTAGAAGGCAACGTTTAAAATGTAACAGGAAAGCGAGCCACTTGTAGAGGATGTTCCTTAATCCAGTGGTTCTCATTACATGCAGATAGGAAGATTATCCTTCAAAAATGTATCCGACCAAGCCTTTTCTCCGAATGTCCACCCTGCAACACGATCAAGGTTCGAGATTCGATATGCCGAAAAATATGACGGTACCTAAAGAAATATAAATACCATCACCCGGCTGACCTTGAATTATATTCATCCCTCTAATACCATTTCACAGTTGGCATTTCCAAAACCGAGACACAGTCCCTCCAATTTCAAAATGCGATTCACCTTCGTCGCTTTTATGGCCATTATCGGCTCTGCCTTGGCTGCAGACAAGGCCCCTGCTTTGGTAAGGTTGAACAAATGAACATTAACACCATTGAGGCTAACCATTCAGATTGGCGTCGGGTTCCCTTGCAAAGCCGATGGCAGCTCAGGAAACTGTGCTAGTGGCTTCTGCTTGGTAGGTCTCCTTATCTTCTACCAAAATATCGTGACTTCAAACACTAATTCGTCATGCAGCAACTTGCTCACGAGAATCAGGGCGTATGCAAGTAGACTGCGGTTCTCACAGTTTGCGTGGAGTGATTGACGGGGTAGTATTTTTACCTCAAGGAAAGTGTCTAGGGATGAACTGGTTAAGCTGACTCGAAGGTCGGACATTAGTCAATGCTTTTAACCGAATATCACTGCTCTTGGAATGAGATCTGGAGAGAAATAGCTTCTCTAAGCCCAAGACCCCGGAGATTATTCAATAGTACTTGTAGTTGTGAATATATATACCCATAAATACCCCCTATGGTATAAGATTATGAACCCGAATGGTATTTGGCCTACCTTAATCGAAGCCCTAGATTAGAGGCCTAGTAAGTACACATTACAGATAGGTTGCAAGATAAAAAAAAAGGAAGTCGGGGCATTTGCACGCCATGTGGGCTCCCGAGGTCTGTTATTGGATGGATCTCAATATCAAATAATCATCAATTACAAACATACAATTGCTAATTCATAGCTTGACGGAATTAGAATCCTAAGGTTTGTTAGCAATTTGGTAATGTCTGAAATCGGTGTATCATGACATACCTTTTTCTGTGTTACCCTCACCCATGCTCTTGCTGCTGCTACTTCCACTTTGGATAGCACCCATGATTCCATCCATGTAGGGAGCGCCACTCCACTTCTGGTGGGTGAGAACATCCACACCGAGCTCCTTCTCACGGGACTGGACGAGACGGACGTAAGCCAGCATACCCTCATCCTTGAATGCACGGGAAAGTTCGGTCGTGATAGTTGCATTAGTGTGAAGACCAGCCAGGGAAATAAGTTGCAGGACAAATCTGAAAGAGGTTAGTGGACCGAAGCGAGAAAGATGCAATGTTGAGCTTACCCTTGCTTAGCAATATCCCAGATAAAGGACTTGAGCGACGCCTCATCAAATCCTTGACCCATCCAGTTGAATGAAGGGCTAAGATTGTAGACAAGCTTCTTGCCTGGATACGCCGCCCGCACTTCACCGGCCAACGTTCCAGCTTTCTTGACATCTGGGTCACCAGTTTCAACCCAGAGAAGATCTGCGTAAGGAGCGAACTCCTTCGCGCGCTTGGTCGCAGCAGGGAACCCTGCGGAGTAGTGGTAGAATCCCTCGCGGGTACGCGGGCTATCGCACGACCACACAACAGGTGTTTTGGTGTAATCATTTGCCAGGGCACGGCGACGAGAGAAGGAAAGATCAGGATTCTTCTTAACAAAGGCCTTGTACGCATCCCGAGAAGACTGGGGAGCGCCCTCTGACTCAAGATGAGCATCGACGGCTACATGTTGTTAGTAAATGGGATCGTTTCACACAGAATCAATAAACATACCTTGGTCGAATGTAACAAGCTTGTGCCTCTTGACCCAGTCAAGCTCGAATGCGTCGATTTCTTTAGGTGAGGCACCCTCCCGTTCCATAGCTTGGAGGGTCTCGGCCAAAGGTTCCACATCTTCCGTGATACCAAGGATGAATTCGTGATCACGCACATCGATGGCGCTGCTGATGAGTCGGCCACTCTCAGAGTCTGTTCGGGCAATAACCAGGTTCTCACATCCCATCATATCCCACTGGAATCGAGCTGCTACTAGTCGGTTGATGTGTTCACCCATTGGGACGAGCACTTTGCCTGCAAGATGGCCGCACTTCTTTCCACCGTGCAATTGATCTTCAAAATGAACGGCCGCGGCACCATTCTCCGCAAACAGTTTGGCAAGTTTTAGAACAGCCGATAAACCACCATGACTATACCGAGAGAATTAGTAATAGCCCTTGCATTCAATCTTACTTATTAACATACCCGGTATCACCATCCGCAACGATTGGTCTCATATAATCAATGTATGGTGTAGCCTTTCGCTGCTCTGGTGTCATCTTTCGCCTTGTGTCCCACTGTTTCCGGTCATGCATAGACTGGGCCTTGAACAGACGCTGGACCTGGTTCGGGACGGTATTGTAGGGATAATCGCCGAAATCCGGAGATACTTCGTTGGTACTTGTCAAAAGTGAAGAGCAAGCCCAGCCCGAGACATACAGAATCTCTTGATTGGGGGCTTGCTGCGTCATCTGGACAGGGTCGATAGCCCCCACTTGCGTGTGGAACCGAGGTCAGATATGTCACAATTGGAGCTCAGTCGGCTAAGGACTCACTGGTATGAACGGGCTGACCAGCAGCCGCTCGCTCATTGAGAAGATTAAAAAGCTTCCGCGCCATCAAAGAACTGGGGTACGTTTGTTGCAAAGGAGCCGCGCTTGCTCACGACATCTGCCGCCGTGTAAGGGCGCTTGATGCCTTCGTAGCGAGGCGAATTCCACCATGATTCAACATCGCGAAGCTGTTGGTCGTAAAGCGCATCTTCAGCTTCACCAGCTTTCTCTTGTGTGGACAGCAGCTGGTATGCGTCTGAGGGGAGAGTGGTGGATACGGGGTGCTGAAGAGGCGTCATCCGAGTATAACCGCTTGTGAAAGGCCGCAACGAGCGCGAAGAAACAGTGGACACACCGGGAGCACGTCGAGGCAAACGCCGTACCAAACGAAACATGGCTGACGGGATAAGTAAAAGAATAAAATCAACAGATAATTGTTGAATTGAAACAAAAGGAAAATAGAATAAAATAAAGGAAGCTGAGAAACAAAACAAGGGCTCCGCTTGACCTCGGGCCGTGAACATCTGGGGTTTCCCCGCCACTCCGGACCTCCGAAATTCGCTATATGACTAATCCTGGGGCCCGCCTATAGGCGTGGACCTCGGGACTATCTGGACTACCTGGACTACAGCCTGGGACCACGACACTGTTACTTCATATATAATATTCATTTGTCTTCGCCTATGTGCAGTCTCCTTCCCTCAATCCTTTCTTTGGCTTTGACCGTCTTTTTAAATATTAATAGACTGCCCGAAAGTGTCGATTAGCGGTCGGGATATTGGTTGTGGATAACATGCTTCCAATATCTACGATCTCAATGTGCCCTTGAAAACAAGTGGAAGGGTCCCTATTATCATATGTTGGGTTAGCCTATTTCATTTCTGGGAAAGGCCATACTTGTCTATAAGTAGCCTTGGATTCTCACGTTATCCTACGCTACAAGTCGAACCCGAATCTCCGGTGTTTATTGGTAGTATATGTTTTCTAGGATAGCACTCGATGATGAATATTCAAAGAGATACTGCTCTTCTGAATAAGAATTCGTGTTGCTTGGAACTGATATTTCTTCAGCGGTGTGGTGGTAACGAAGACTGAAATTATTGTGTTCTACGAGGTCATGGTAACCTTGCAAGTGCCTCTTGGTTAAGAATGGCATCGAGGCCATAGTTTCACCACCAGCACTCGGGGCATCCCTCCCTTACCGATTACCGATGGCTGTATTCTGATCTTCGTATCCATCAATTTAAATTGACATCACTCTCACTTGGGCCTTACCTTGCCTGCATTTCGGCCTCACTTCAACGACACTTCGCTTCAGTCTTTCTAATGCCCATACCAATGGGCCAATTGTACAACAAACCACACTATACTACAATACAACGCACTACCCTCTTCAGCCAAGCCATCCAACTAATCCACGATCCGCTCAAAATAACCAATTCAAACAATTCAGTTCATTCACTAAACAAAGTGATCAATAATGTGCATTCATACCCCCATCACGCACGACTATAGGGTATCACACCCTGGTAAGTACCCATCTCCAAGCACCGAAGGAAAGACGAATACTAATCTGCATTTAGCCCAGGTGCCCACCAACACCCCCGACCTCCTCGACCTCCTCCACTCCCGCCCCCTGGCCGCATCTGTGGCCCTCCACCAAAATCTCGGGGTCGGTGACGAGTGGAAGTCCCTCGTCCACCGCCTGTGGGCTCACCTCGAGCCCTACAGCTCCTACTTCCCCACCGGCCGACTAACAGCGGCCAATGATAACGACATCCTTCTGCGAATGGAGGACGTCAAGTATCCTCCTTCGCCCGTTGAGGAGGATGTGCTGCCCATGGAGGGCGTTGAATTTGTGTCTGTCTCCGGTGTCTACATAGACACCATGATCCGTGACATCTCTCCGGAGATGGATGTCTGTGCGGAGCTTGGGGCCGTGCCTGCCTCCCCCCTGTCCCCATGACTATGCCTCTCTCCCTCCCTGTGGTGGCCCCCCCTCCCCGTGGTCCCACCCTTGTGGCTGCGCCCGGCACCAACAAGTACCGGCAACGGTACTAGTTGCGTCCGTGAAGACTGTTTGTCTGCCCCCTGACTTGTCGGGGGTGTCAGCCGCCGTTTGTCTTCTTTTTTTAATTTTTTAATCAAAGATCTTTCCCTTCGCTTTTAATTTCTTGTAGATGATATTTTTGTTGTAGCTAGTGATTGTGTTTGTAGTCCTAATTTACTAACTAGTGCCGTTGGAGAAATTATCCCCGCACGGTGTTGTTATTGTTTTATAGTCGTTGATACCCACATAGTATGTCCATGGATACTCTAAGTACTCTAAGGCTGTCAAAACGACACACAAGCCCCTTTAGTTCAGCAGATTGTAACATTAAATCAGATATAGCCGATGCCCAACCCGGTTGAGATTGTAATGGAAAACACAGCACATTCTCCAAGATCGGCACCCCCGCATTGGCTTATCATCTCCTCTCCGTAGGATTCCCTATCTTCCAACCATTTACCATTCGTTGTCAGCGCCTCTTATCTCCCTGTTTTTATCTCCATATTTCTGTATATCTCGTTTTCCCCCGTGTGAATGGGTTTCAACAACGACTTGGTATGGAAAGCATCAAAATCCCATCGATTTTAGATCCGCCCGACAACCCGGCATCAGCGCGGGGAAACCTTGGGGCACAAAAGCCAAAGCAGACAAAAAGTCGGAATGGTAAGTTGAAATAATGTGAAGCTACTGAAGCCACTTCTTTCTATCGGTGAAGCAAGAACCAGTGAAGCAGGAATAATGCAGACGGTCACTTCATCATATCGTCCACAACATTGACTTGAGTCTCTACTTTTATAGGTTGCATCACCTGCAAAGCAAAGCGGTTGAAGTGCGACGAAGTCAAGCCATCATGTCAGCAGTGCGAAAGACGAAAGGTCCAATGTGGAGGATACAAGAAAGACTTCAAATGGCGACCATTCGAAGAAACCAACTTCGCTTCCGGGCGGCCTACAGTGACCAAAGCCAAGAAAAGTAAGTCACGGGTGCCGAGCAGGTTAGACATGATATACTCATAAATCTTCTTTAGCAAACTCTTCGTCCAATCAAACTTCCTCTGTCGCCAACATTGGCCAGACCTTTCCGACCCCTCCAACGACTGAACAATCAGCATCACCGATTCGCATACAGTCCCATAATTTTGATGGCTCTCGTTCGCCTCCAGACTCTCCTTTACATAGCTCGCCCATTAGTACCAATAGTTTTCTATCTACCGAAGCACGGTCCCTTGACGACCTGCCTGTCCCGCGAGAAGATGTTTCTATGGCCGAGTGTACCGCGCCTCCCCTTGACATTAACGTGTCATTGTCTGCCGACTCTCCCCCTTTCAATTTCATATCATTCTTGGAGCCCTTTCAAGATTCTTTGTCACTCGCAAATTCGCTGGTTTCTGATGTCAACGCTGATCCTGTTAGACACATGCCCCTTGGTCCGGTGCAGCCAGATCCAGACCCATCGAGGTTGAGCTTCTCTCAACTATTGGAGGATGAAAATGATGACATTGAGGAGATTATCCGGAAGTCAGATCCAGGACTGGGACCGTGGAACTTCACATTGCCAGAGACAGATTCTTTCACTCTCAGCCCTCCAAGCATGTCAGACAACCCATCTCTGGCACCGGAAAGTCCAGAAATGCTTGTGTTGCGGTTTGATAAGCTCACATGTGGAATTTTATCTATCAAAGATGGTGCATTAGAGAATCCGTGGCGAACACTCATTTGGCCGTTAGCAAAAGACACGCCTGCACTTCGCCATGCCATCTTTGCGCTGACGGCTTTCCACTCGGGCAAGGAAAGCCCCCATCTTCGGGTGCAAGGTGCAAAGCACATGCGCCAGAGCATATCTGGTCTAGTTGGACAGATTCACAATATGAGAGCGGATACTGCCCTGGCAACTAGTCTGGCGTTGGCATTCGCTGATACCTGGGACCAACACACCGGCACATGCATTCAACATTTGCGAGGCGCAAAAACACTAATGTGCCAGGTAATCGCAGCCGGGATGCAAAGGGGGGTTAGCGACGAGGAACTGGATCGCATCCGGTTCCTCTATAACACATGGTCATATATGGACGTGATTGCGCGACTAACTTCTTTGGATGAGTGTGGTCCTCAAAACTGGGATTCTTCAATCTTCGAGCTTCCGAGTGACACAGTCCATGATATTGATCCGTTGATGGGCTGTGCAACTACTCTGTATCCTCTCATAAGTCGTGTGGCGAAGCTGATCCAGCAAGTGCGGAAGAGCTCGTCAAATACGGTGTCGGTTGTAGCCCAAGCTATGGAGCTCAAAGCTCTGGTCGAGCAATGGGAGCCACCGCAATGGTTTGAACCACCAGATGACCCAAATTCTGAGGTTCAACATAGCATTCAAGTTGCACATGCCTATCGTTGGGCTACGTTGCTGTACCTGCATCAGGCCGTTCCAGAGATACCCTCTGAGCCGGCCGATGAATTAGCGAAGAGGGTCCTCATCTTGCTTGCCACCGTTCCGTATACATCCCGGACTACTATCATACAGATGTTCCCTCTGTTAGCAGCTGGCGCTGAAGTTGACACCGACGATGACCGAAAATGGGTCTTGGATCGATGGACCACAATTCAGTCTCGCTTAACGCTAGGTGGTGTAGATCGCTGTCTAGAGGTGTTAAAGGAGGTCTGGGAGCGTCGCGACGCAATGAATGCGAGAAGAGCGCGTGAAATGACCAGCTCGCGTAGTGGCGAGTCTTTTTCATCTGGAGACAGGGAGAAAATGAGCTCATCGTTACCAACCGATTTCCGCAAATACGGTCTCAATGGTTCCCACAAGGGCCCAACAGGAGGAAGACCAGGGCAGCCTACATCGAGGTTTGCGCGACGGGGTTCCGCACTCGCGTCGCTTGAAAATATTGAATTTGAAAGAACTGTGCGTGGCAGATTGCACTGGGTGAATGTTATGGCTGAGTGGGGATGGGAAGGTGAGTTCGACACCTGTCAGACTATTTCATCCAAGAGCTAACTGTGCAATCCATAGTTTTCCTTGGCTAGCTTGACAGCGATAGCCAAAATCTTGGTTGCAAGTTTGGGAGTCGACTGAAAAGAACCTGTTGTTCTTTGCGTCCCAGCCTGCTACACTAATAAAACGGCTAACCAAGCAAGCAGCCCGAGTTCTTGTTCCTTCCCTGAGTTTTGTTTTTGTGTTCCCATTGTTGTGGCTCCCTATTATTTTGTTAAGGTTGAAATTGTACTTTGCAGCCCTGACCCGGTGTTGCCTTGAATCAGCGCGGCGTCTAGGGATCTGTTGTTCTCTTGTTGATGAGTGATGACAATGATGTGTATCGAGATTTGTTTTTCTGCAATTGTGACCTACTCTCTGACTACAAAATATGGTTGATCTAGGAACTAATATGTCCACCATGGTGGTGGTTTACTTGGCTCCAACGCTTTCATTCAACTTTCCAATACGCGATCCCCCTATCCCGGAAGCCCTCAAGCAACTACCCACAGCAACCCCACGGCCACCCGATTTGAATTTCCAGTAATACGGAGACACAACCAGCCTAATCAAAATCCGACGCACATTGCACATTATCTTCATTACCCGTGTTAGTGTTGAGTGCGACGCTATGCCCGGAACACCCACCTGAGCACCTACCAACCCTGATCATCCAACGCGAACAGTAAGCCACATTTGCCTTCGTAGGCGTTACTCAGCAAGGTCTCGTCCGATATTGTCCCTACTGCGAAAACGTAAACATACCAGGAGCCTATGTTTTCGGAGTGACGATTCTCTGATTCCCCCAGCAGCAGCAGTCTCTGCGATACCTGAGAGACTGTCTTCCCTTACGCGCAAAGGAACTATGTCCTTAGTCGGATTCTTGTGTTGGTTCGGTATTGATCCATTTCTTGATATGATATATTACAGTCCTGATAAAAAGTGTCATATCAGGACAGTCTACCCAGGTGTTCGGCCAAGTGTGTCTTTGGCGTGCTAATGCTGTTTTCGGGGAAGTACCCGTTGGCACCAAGATCGACCAGCAGAACCTCTACAACTTCTGATCTGAGAAGAAATATGGCCTAGAGACTATCTTAGGTGAAACAGTATTCACTTTTTAAGATTCCTAAGCCGCGGTCGATTGCCTGTATGCGACGATTGCTTCATGGGAGGCCCCACTTGGTCATGGCTGATTTGTAAGTTGGAAGTTCTAGAAGTTCATATTATTTATGTGCAGGATAATTTACAATGCATAATATCCGGATCCACCTCAGTAAGGGAATACAAACTGCTCAGCTTTTGCACCAAGAATAGGCACGAAATCTTTTCCCTCACAAACCTTCATAGCCTTTTGATAGGCAGGTCGGTCACCAACACGTTTCAGATAAGCCAGAATGTTCTTATGCTTTTGCTCGTCAAATTCAATGGGGCAGAATCCTCTCATGGTGGTGAGAGTACAGATCGCCATGATATCCGCTGCGGTGACGTCATTCCCAACTAAGTAGGATCCGGTTTCACCGAGTCTCGCCTCAATCATTGAGAGCGCACCCTCTAGTTTCACATCGCCCAGCTTGACATGCGGTGCCTCTGGGTCGTTGCTCAAGCGCCTGTTCATCAACACACGGAACAAGGTTGGTTGCAGGGAGGCATTCGCCCAGTGGTACCACTCCAGGAATTGGACGTATTCCTCGCCGTCTTTCGGTGTGCGTGCGAAGCGGCCCTCCCCGTAGGCGGCAATAATGTAGTCAATGATAGCGCCTGATTCAGCAAGCACGACCTTGTTTTTTGTAAAGGGGGAATTGTCATCTTCTATCACCGGTGCGGTGCCGGAAGGATGCAGGTCTTTGATTGATTGCGGAGCCAGGATAGGGTCGCGCTTGTGGAAGACGAAGTCATACTTGATGCCAAGTTCTTCTGCGAGCCAGACGATGCGCTCTGATTGTGAGCGGCCAAGGTGGTGGATTGTCAACGGCATCTTGGTTTGGAAATGAGAGAGGGGTGTTGGGTTATTGGCAAAGTGGCCCCGGAATTGCAAGACGTGGAATACAAATTGTGTTGAGAGATATGGAGCCAGATTCTACTTGTTGAGGATGGACCAAAGTATTTATACTTGCTGCATTCATAGAATCGTCGGCATCGTCGGAGATATAGCCGGATCCGCAACTCCACCGACATTAGTCAAATTCGTAGCTCTAGACCTCGACTCAAGACAGCTTAATTGCACAAGTCATGCGGCAATTAGGCCCTTGATTTTTACCGATTTCGGGTTCGGCTTGGACTCAAGGAAAAGGTTCCCACTTCTTGCAAAGCAAGGAATTTGGTTTATAAGGCAAAGATAGGCTTCGTTACAGAAGATCTGGGGTATGTTACTACTTAGAGCTGTTTTTCGAGTATGTGGATCATGTCACATTTAAATTCAATCACACTTCAAGTATCATCTCTCGTGGGGGAATTGATTCTACATGGTAGTCAAATGCGATTCCCTCTAGAGGAGCTAACTATAAGTGTTTAGACTCTCCCTATCACACGTTAGCCAATACGTGCTACGGTCCAAACACCGGGTTTGGCTAGTTATGTATGAGGCTCGAAAGCAAATAAGAGAACCAGGGGTGAAGAACTGTTACTGGATTGGTGCTTATTCGAACACATAACAATGTGGGGATACATAAGGCACAAGGGTATCCTTGTGCTAATGCGTCCACATGACCACCAGGGCTTAATCCTATTTCTGAAATCACCCTTCTCATTTACTTAGGTAACTGCCATCGAAATTACTCCAAAACAACCTCTTACAGATCCCTCGTCTCCATGGCTTCGCCATGATCAACCCTCAAGACAGATTTTGGTCCGACAGCCAGGGCTACTACGGCCCGAGCGAAAACCCCGCCACCCAATCTTATTCCAATGTCTGGGATTGGGATCAACTGCGGATGATCAAGGTCAAAGGCACTACTAAGCTATTTCCACCCGATGGGGGTGTAGAGCTCTCCATTCTGGCATCATTAGCTGATTATATATCTCCTGAAGTCCGCGCAATCACAGTCGATGACAATGGGCTCCTTACTGAGGTTTCGACGGATCCGGAAGAAGATGATACGATGTTTATTGCATACCCTTTCTTCTCGCTCTGTGGGTCGCTTGCCGACTGCCTTACAATTCAGTACTCTAAATTCCAAGAGCTCGATAGGCTTGGACCATTTGTTGATCTCCTATCGTACGAAGATGAGTCCGGGATTCCTCGAAAGGTTGCCTTTAAGTTCAACATCTTATACAAGGCTCTAAGAATACAAATGGCTTGGGATGAACTTAACATTCTTAAAAGCCTACCACCACATCCCAACATGGTACCATTTGATCGCGTTGTCCTCGACGAGTCTCGGGTGATTGGTTTCACGACAAAGTATATCCCAGGTGTAACTCTCGCCGACCCAAAGGTCCTTTTTCGATTTGAGTGGCTGCAGCAGCTTACCCAACTCGTGGATTTTCTCAACCTACAATATGGAATCATGCATCAAGATATTGCACCCCGGAACCTGCTTATCGATCCTTTCACACATAAGATTCTTCTCTTCGATTTTGACCGGGCTGCATCTGGACAGAAAAACCTACATGACGGCCGAGATGATGTTAGTAGTGTTGTTTTCACACTCTACGAGCTTATCACGAATGATACGTCCTTCTCGGGTATCCCTCACTGGGAGCGAAATATTGATATGGTGCAAAGTATCTCAGAGTGGCCTAGTCATCGCGAGCTGGACTCTGAGATATCGGAATTCCGCAAGTTTCTGAATGAATGGGTAGCAACACGAAGATCCGACGTGGACGCGGACATGAAACGATATTTGAATGCACCAAACCGACTTACGTTGCCAGACCTATCAACGGCGCCCGAGTACACTGTACCATTCGAGGTGGGTACTAGGGATGGAAAGCCAGTTTGGAGAACGGGCCCTCGGTCTAGGAATACTGCAATGAAGCTAGGGCAGTATTGCTTTCGCTGGGAGAGGCCGCCACAGAGCCGCTTGTTGAACAAGGCTGAAAGTAATGTTAAATAGTCGATATTGGAAAGCCGTGCGTGGAAAACAGTCTTCTTCATAGTGAATCAATATCAGAAATCCTAGGTACGTATGTCCCTAAAGTGTGCTCAAAAGAAAGTGCCACACCTCGCATTGAGCATCTCATTCTCACCTCCATTCACCGTACCGAGTTCTTTCCTAACCTTTGGGGGATTTTCTGTATTATGGCTCTATAAAGATATAAAAATACTAGAATTGACAATGCTAAATGAAAAACAACAAGAATAGTCGGCTGCTTCCTTCTAGATGTGGTATATTCATTCGAAAAAATTATGCCAAGCATCCAAAGCCAGTGATCGTGGTTCCGGGGTTGATGTGATGGGGAAGGGCTAACCGCATCAAGTAAAGGAATCCCCCCGACTCAGCATCATCTGCATATCCATGTACCAACTACTCAACTACACAATCTTATCACGCGAAGTAGACCCCATAGTCTATGAGATCGGAGCAATACTGCCAAAACTTGTCGGTAGTTTTCTCTCCATTGATAACAGTCTCCCCACGCTACCATTTCGTCTTTATCTCAAGATTCAAGCTTCCCCTCATCTCCCCGTAAGCCCCTCATTCTATCCATAACTTCTCCCAACTGGTTCTCTGTTGGACTGCCTAGTCAGGACATCAGATCCGACTGTCGCTTTTTGTCTGGATTTAGTTCCTCTAAGTTTGAGAAATCCTTTCTTTTTGAAGGGCATCCCCTCATTTCATACAATGGTAGACTGCGGCAAGATCAGTATAAAGCAGAGGTAACCCTCGAGAACTAAGTAGAGTATCAATTTATTTCCATACTACATTAGCCCTCACAGTCACACAGATTCAACCATGGCGGTTCCCTTCACCTACCACGCTAAGGCGCAATCTACCTTCAAGCCGCCCCTTATCGCAAATGACAACGCCTTCTTGGGTGATGTGCAATCAAGGTATGGCTGATACATAGTGTCTTAGGTTGGGAACTTTGCTGACATACTATAGCGAGAACGAGAACCCTGACAAGCCCATGTCATGCGGCTTTTACCGACTGGAGAAGGGTACACCCCTCGTCTACACCTACACCTACGACGAAATGAAGATTATCGTCGAGGGTAAGTTTGAGATTGCCGATGAGACGGGCCAAAAGGTCACGGCGACTCCGGGCGATGTGTTTTATTTCCCCAAGGGGGCCACAATCACCTTTACAACGGATGATTATGGACTGGCGTTTTATGTGGGTATTCCGTATCCAGGGCTGAATTCTGAAATCGTATTCAAGGGCGAGACTAACGAAATCCAGACTGGCCAACGGAAGCAGGGTGCTGCGTGAATAATAGGATAATAGGATAATAGGCCGAAATTAAATTATATTTTCATTTTAAATTTGTGGGATCCATGGTTGGAATTGCCAATTATCGGGGTCCCCGTGCCTCCAATCCATGGAACATCCCAGCTGTGTCAAGCAAGCTATTCCCTATTCGGTAGTTTGCTTATGTCCCTTGCGATAGCCTCAGAATTCCACATGTGATTGCAGAGCCCCTACTGTGGGTTGCTTATATATATATGTACCTATGTACCTATGTACATACATACAGTATTGACCGGACAATTATTGCTTATTCCCCCGGACACGAACTCAGATGTGCGACATTCGCTGATCTCATGGATTATGCAAAAGTCAAAAAACAGAGTCCGAACACATCCACCAGTAGCGGTTTCATGTTCGACTCCATACAGAGTCGATCCTACTTGAAAGGAAGAGTCAAAGCACAATTAGCGATTGGAAGTGGAGATGATGTTCAGCTCGCCTCGATAAACTCATCCACTCTGCTGGGTTTTAAAGTGTGTTTAATTCAGTGTGTATGACGTGGGGAGAGTTGCTACAGCAACTCTGTGAGGAAGGGAGGGGATATCGGCATGGAGTGGATTGTCGAATTGAGAGAATCAAGATCCGTTCGATCTTGGTGGAGAGGGATCGACTTTGAAATAATAAATATAAACCTTCAATATTTCCTGAGACAAAGGCATTTTCTTCTTTTTTTTTTCCTTTTTCCCTCTCTGTGTACAAGCAAAAACATCCTTCAGTCACTTTGCCTTTGTTCTTGGGCTAGTGCCAATTAGTTCCGGCCTTATCACAGGGGGTCACAACCAACCCCTCTATCGCTCCTCCATCAACACCATGGCTATTATTTCAGAGGACCATCTTGGTCTACGACTCCCTAACCCACCACCACTATTGCATACTCGTGGTCAATTTGATCGCCCCTCTACTCCTGCCGATGGCTTTACCAGTCCCCCACAGACCCCCCAGGGTAGCCCCAGCAAGTCAAGATTGCCTCCGGGCGCACTCGACCTACCCAATGTCTTCGACAAGGCGATGAAGTTGACTCCCACTTCTCCTTCTAAATCGACATACAACCACTACAATCATCCAATGTTCTCTGCTGGCAAGAGCGGCGAGGACTTCAACGAGAGCGTTATCCACCAAACCCCTTCGAGCCCAACGCGTAGGGCCAACAAGGAGAACACACCCCCCAACCCAACGCGCCTAACGAAGGATCTGGGATCAACCCCAACTGCTGCTGCACTTTCACGTCAGGAGCCATACCAACCACGCGATGAAACAACCAGACGCCAAGTGCAGATGCGCGGCCTGACCCCCGAGGAAATGGAGAAGCTCGCCCAACCCAAAGTGAAGCGCCTTGTCAATGTGACTCAACTCTGTATGTCGCCACCTAACCCAACATTCTAGGACGGATTAACTGACATATGCACGACAGACTTCCTTGACCATTACTTCGATCTCCTCAGCTACGTTCACAATCGCCAAACCCGCCACACACAATTCAAAGCCGCCTACCCCGACCCCCCTGCTACCCCTAACGAAGAGCACGAACCAGCCCTCCTAAAATACCTCGGTCGCGAGCGTGCACACCTGCGAAAGCGTCGCACACGCCTCCGCCAGGGCGACTTCCAGATTCTGACTCAGGTTGGTCAGGGTGGATATGGACAGGTGTATCTGGCACAGAAGAAGGATACGCGTGAAGTGTGCGCGTTGAAAGTAATGAGCAAAAAGCTGCTTTTCAAGCTGGATGAGATTCGTCATATCCTAACCGAGCGCGATATTCTCACTGCCGCCAAGAGCGAGTGGCTAGTCAAGCTGCTCTATGCCTTCCAGGATGACTCCCAGATCTACTTGGCCATGGAGTATGTTCCTGGTGGGGACTTCCGCACGCTGCTGAATAATACCGGTGTTCTCCATAATCGTCATGCCCGCTTCTACATTGCTGAAATGTTCAGTTGCATTGACGCGCTCCATGTGCTGGGATACATTCACCGTGATTTGAAGCCCGAGAATTTCCTCATCGATTCCACGGGCCATGTCAAGCTGACCGATTTCGGTCTGGCGGCTGGTATGCTGAGTCCAGGCAAGATCGAGTCAATGCGCGTTAAGCTTGAGGAAGTCGGAAATACCCCCGTTCCCTTTGGTCGCCCCATGGAACAACGTACAATGGCCGAACGACGACAAGGATACCAGTCTTTGCGCCAGCGGGAAGTTAACTACGCCAAGTCGATCGTCGGATCGCCGGACTACATGGCACCGGAAGTTCTTAAGGGCGACCAATACGATTTCACTGTGGATTACTGGAGCTTGGGATGTATGCTGTTCGAGGCATTGGCGGGTTATCCACCCTTTGCAGGCGCGACAGTCGAGGAGACATGGCAGAACCTGAAACGCTGGCAAAAGGTGTTGCGGAAGCCCGTCTACGAAGATCCGAACTACTTCTTGTCACGGCGGACGTGGGATCTCATCACGAAACTGGTTGCTGGGAAGGAGCAACGGTTCAAGAATATCAAAGAAATCCATTCGCACGACTATTTCGCCGAGGTCGACTTCGAGAGTCTACGTGATCAACGGGCTCCATTCGTGCCTGAACTTGATTCCGAGACTGATGCTGGGTACTTCGATGACTTCAGCAACGAGGCGGATATGGCTAAGTACAAGGAGGTCCATGATAAGCAGCGCGCGCTGGAGGATATGGCCGATCGCGATGACAAGATGGGCAAGGGCTTGTTTGTCGGGTTTACTTTCCGGTATGTTTGGCTCGAATCCAAGCTGAATAGCTTTTCTTTGTACGATCGTTCTCTTACTGACCACTCTAGTCACCGCAAACCCGCTGTCGACAGCAACGGCCGCAGCAGCTCGCCACGGAAGCCTATCGCAACGGACGGCACATTCGGGACGATGTTCTAGGTTCCTGACCACAATCCAGATTTCACCCATATTCGGTCAACCTTTTTTTCTTCTTACGTTCCGCTGGCGCGTTGCGGGACTCCGAGCTGGATCTTGGTTTCTTTGTGCCAGCTGTCCCAGTATTGAGTTTAATGGGTCATCTTTGCATCTTTTCTTTTCTTTCTGTTTTAACTTCAACTTCATTTTTCAACTTGCACCTTGCAGCGCGATACGGTTTCTCGACTCGTTCTAGTTTTATTATGCGGGTGGAGTTGTGAAATTGATTCTTGTATGATACAGCCATAGACCAAAAGTGGCGCAGTTCCTTTCTTCTGCTAGTAATATGGTTTCATTGTATGGAATATGGAATATGAGTTTGAGTTCGTTCATGATCAAATTCCGAGTAGATTATATGTAGCGCATATATCTTCTCGCAGTAAATCATCGATTCTTTTAGTTTGCAGGAAGCTGGCGCACCATGCGCAGGATCTCGGACTGGTTGTCTCCAATGACAGCGCGGCCATTCACCCAGTCAACGGTCTGTAGAATAGAATATTAGCAAAAAAACATACAGACACGGAAATAGAAATAAGGTAGGAAAAAGGTCGAACATACGATAGGCCTCACGAAGTTCTCGTTATTCTCCTTGAACTTCTTCAGCGCATCCTCCGCATCGCGGGCGCCCTTCACCAGCTCCGCAACACCATATGTCACCTTTTCGCCCGGACCACCAACACCGCTGACGGGCGAGATGTAGTCGAGGATACTGCGAAGCTGGTCTGTTGTCGGGGGGAAGTGGTAACCTCCAGCTCGAACTCACCGCGCTGTTGCTTTGCGTGGGTGGAGTGGTCGCTAGCCTGGTCTTCTGTGGCGGTTTCGCTAGCGGTTGAGGAAGCTTGCTTCAGGATGTTGAGGGTTCTAGTGGATGCTTGGATGGAGGGGGAGTGGAAGAGAGTGATTGGGTCGAGGGTTTTGCTCTGTTTGGGTATTAGATGGTGGCCTGGGAGCTAGGGGAGGATGAATTGGTGGGGTTCGGGGCTAGTATTGGTAGACTTACGAAGCGGAACATCTTGACGGTTTGGATATTTGTAATTGAGGGTGTTGTGGTGATAGAGGCAGGTGGAATGGAGGAAGTTGGAAGAACTGGAGTTAGCTTAGGCGGCAGTTCCTGGATGATGTCATGTGCTGGCTCGGGTCGTCTCGGGCTAAGCTGTGTTTGGTCCGAACCTGCCAAGGTTGGAATGAGTCAACTACACTTTGGTCTTCTCTTTTGAGAATACCCTACGGAGTACGGAGTACGGTGTACTTCATTGAGAAATGCAATGGAGAATAATGAATTTTCCATCATCTGGTGTCTGGCTCTTAACGGATAGCGATGGCATCCTCATGTCCATCCAAGTCTACATTTTAAGCAGGACTTTGAACATGGCTTAATGCCTCGGACTTGAGTTTCGCGGCATAGCTTCTTGCTCCTCAATTGACTGTCCCAATGCTGTATTCAACGCGGCCAAGCACATAGGTTGTTGGGGAGGGCGCCGGGTTTGAGGGCTGCGCGGTATTGTACCTCGCTCGCTGCAGGCGAGTATTAGACTCTCACCTTTGGTAGATGCCATTATTCATCTCTGCATATACTGATTAGCTCGAGCCTGAATTGTCAATTATGCAAGGAGATAAACATACCCAGGCAATAAATGAACAAACTCTAGGTTCTAGTTTCTCTATTCATAAACCAAAGTTCTCAACATGCAAGTAGATCCCCTGCGCGCCAGTTCCTTTGTGCACAGCTCGTTCATCGCTGAGAGAAACCACGCTACGGCGGACATCATCTGCTAGGCCACGAGGCCCGCACACAACCACGGCACTTTCTCCTTCGGCTTTCTCTAGGACCTTGCGGATGATAGTTCGTGGTGTTGGACGACCAGAGACAATATTGGGAGAAACCGTTGTTTTACTTGTACGGTCTTCAGGCAGAACGGACTTTGCATCCAGGGCAGCCTTCTCAGACTGAACAGGCGCTGGGTCAGAGCAGGTACAGGCACAGGAGGTGCTGATTTCCTCGTCTTCGATTTGGGTGGTACAACAACAGCCTCCCCCAGGGAGGCAACCCCTGCCTGTTGCCACAGGGCCTGGAGTCGATGTTGACTCGGCAGAGACAGAATGAATCGAAATACTGTCTTTATCAGGGGTGTTCTTGGTCTCGTCTTGCGTAAAGGTCTCCAGTATTGGGAGAGGCTGTGTTTGCGGTGGCAGTGTAATAGAGATAGGTGGATCTAGCCTTTCATCGCATGTGATGTAAATGCTGATTTCAATTTCCTTCTCGAAGTTTGAATTTGTGCGGCGACACTCATCAACGTCTGCCAGCAAACACTGCAGTTCAGATTCAAAGTAAGCCAGCTGAGAACGTGATTTGATTACCCAGACAAAGCGCAACCGCTTGGTAGCCGTCAAGCGAACGATCCGAGCGGGTATCTGTTTGGTGTCGTTGTTATCCATCTTCCATGCTGAGACAACGTCCCGCAGAAGCGGTATCGTGAATGTCGCACCCATGCCACCTGCCAGCAGTATAGCACTGTCGAACTGACGCAAGGGCCTGATGCTTCCATATGGCCCTTCGATAAACACAGTCTTACTGGACATCACTTGTCCATTCCCCAGTAGACTATCGCTTTTTGAGGCGTATCGGAAGAAACGTCTTGTTCCCCCATTCTCAGCGCGGATAAAGAATTTCATCTTATTATCCTCTGGGATTGATGCGATGGTGAATGGGTGACATTGCAATGGAGCGACAGAGTGGCAAGTGAGGAAAACATGCTGACCCGGTTGCCACCTGATGCCGGGATTTTCGATAGTAACGCAGGTGACATTTCCAGGTAGCGGAGTAAACGTGGCTGAGTGTGTCCAGAGAGAGTTGGCCTTGTTCTTTCGGTGGAAAATGGCCAAGTTTGCATATGCACCCCAGGTGTAGCGCGCAAGCCTATCGAAGACTACAAGCCCAATAGGGATCCATACCCAGGTCTTGACTTCGTCAGGCGCATGCATCCACACGGCAACAATAAAGCCAACGAAGGTGACTAGATGCTGGATAACAAAGAACTCATAACTGAGCCGACGAATTGGGGCGAACGAAGTGATGACAATAAAGGTCAGGATAATCCAAGCGGCAAATCCACGCTTCGTCAATGGATCGTTATAAAGCTGGTAGGTGATATAATTCCAGCGACCCCAATCGCGGAACCAGAATCCCATATGGATGGTGGTAGTCAACCACAGTGTGCGCGCGACCCAGCGATGGTACCAGTTCAGACTGACGTAGCTCATTCCTGCCAAGAACCCGATAATGTTCTGTCTGCCTGCCAGCAAGAAGATCAGTGGCAGCTGGCAAATCGCGATGAACCCAGTGCGGTAGCCAACATTCTCCCATGCCCATGGATCTAAGGTGTTCAGCTTGTAGAAACAAAGGACCATGACTACTATGAGGTTGGCTAGCATGATGAGGACGGGGCCAAGTGGCGGTAAATGGATGGTAAACCCTCCGAGTCGAAGCGGTTGTGGAGTCGCATAACTGACTTCGCGAGCTGTTGCTGTGATGGTGGCGTAGAGATTGAAGAAGAGTGATTTTGGTTTAGCGGGGGTGAGTGAAGAATCTCGCAAGCTGATTATTGTTAGTCAAGATCAGCGGATGCCAGTATGTTAAGATTAAACATACCGATGGCTAGCAATAACGCGATCTAGCACGTTAACGAGAGTTGCTACCCCAATTGCACTTCCCACGACAGCCCAGTACATCTTCTGTAGGGTGAACAGACTTGGGACGCCATCACCCATGGACATTGAGCCCGCAGGCATGTCACCCATTGACATGGACATCTTGCGGTGGAGTTGTAGAGGAATGAGATTTGAGGTCTACACAACACTTCAACTGTATATATGAAATCACCAATGACAGAGCAGATTACCAATATTATGCTCAACCATGCTCACCTCCTCCACTGGATAAGGGTGGGTCCGCCATGTGGGCACCGTTTTGGTCCAATGCGTCAGCGTGTCAATGCGTCAATGCGTCGTTGCGTCGTGTAACTTCATCTTCCAAGGTTATTTACTTTTCCTACCTTTATTTTATGTTCCGTTCGTTCGCATACCCTCTCCCTCGTCAATCATGAATGGCATGGATATGAGCAGTACCAGCTCTAGCTCAAGCAGTATGAGCTCCTCAAGCTCTATGAGCATGTCTATGGTATTCAAAAACGCCCACGATACGCCACTTTTCTCCAATAGTTGGACTCCTTCATCCTCGGGTAGCTTTGCAGGCACATGTATTTTTTTGATCATTCTCGCTATCATCGACCGATGCCTCATCGCTTTCAAAGCAACCATGGAGCGCCACTGGCTCGCCACACATCTCAACCGACGATATGTCACTGTGGCTGGCAAAAGCAGCGAAGCTGGCAACATTGACTCCGACCCAGACGCAAAACTTGCATCGCTCATCACTGCGCAGGGCGTTGAGGAGTCAGTTAAAGTTGTGCACAACATCAATCGTGGACCAATTCCCTGGCGGTTTAGCGTTGATCTACCGCGAGCACTACTGTTTCTATGCATTATAGGTATATCATATCTACTGTATGTTCCAATATCTACTGGTATTAATTGGATGAATGCTAATATCGTATCTAGCATGCTAGCTGTCATGACTATGAACATCGGCTATTTCTGCTCGGTGCTTGGAGGCGCTTTCCTCGGGGAATTGGCGGTCGGCCGTTTCATTCAATCTTATGAGCACGGACATTGAGCATTTTACCTTTGACTTTATCTGACGCATTTTATGCATGTTGCTACTTTTTATGACCTTGAGCATCTGCCTGGCGTTGGGGAATAATGATTTGGGGATAATATCACACAAATTGACTTGAGTTTGAATCGTTATCATCCTAAACCTCATTTCCACCCAAGTTCTACTCAAATTCTTCATCGCTATCTCCGGCCCTCAGCGGCCCAAAGCAGCTGCATGCAACCATATGACTAAGCCATGCGCGCGCAATTGAGCTAATTTACTAACTCTATTCGGACTAGCCCGTCGGGTAATATCCACTCTTAACGCTAGCGTAAGGCTTTAATTTACTTTTGAGCAAGTATGGTCCGAGCTACCAAAACAGCAGGTCCATGCTATTAGAAATTGGAGTATGGTCTGAAATATAACTATTGTCGAGAAGGTGTTTTACAGTGTGTTCAGGCCTGAATGTATAATTCCTAGGTATAGCGTGGCAAAGAAGCATCAGGAAGCGAAATGTAGAGTATGGGAGTCCAATGATCACTTCATAGAACAGGACAATGCTGTCGGAAGATTCCGAAGTATGCACAATCTAAAATGGAAAAGGGCCATCATTGCCGATATCTCGGATCCCACGGGGCTTCACGGGTGGATCCTGTTTCCACTTCAAGTCCCGCCAACTCCCTCACCTTGTATATGCAGGGCTCGTATAGAAGAGTTCAAAGAGCTGGGTTCTCCCACTTTCCCTGGTACATTAGTTCCTATCGAATTAAATTTCTACAATTTATCCCTCTCTTCCTTTCCAACCCTTCACCAACATACTCACAATGAAGTTTTCTCTCCTCGCCTTCACGGCCATCGTGCCATTGGCTTCCGCGCACTTCAAGCTGATGTATCCCACCTCTCGTGGCTTCGACGAGGATACCATGACCAATTTCCCCTGCGGTGGAATGAGTCAGTCCTCTAATCGCACCAAGCTGCCTCTTTCCGGTGGCTCATTCCCCGTCGCTCTTGAGATGCACCATTCCCAGACTGCCGTCGAGGTCCTTCTTTCTCTTGGTAGCGACCCAGAAGACAACTTCAACATTGTCCTCTCGCCCACTTTCCAGGTCAAAGGCCTTGGCGAGTTCTGCCTTCCTCACGTTGAGATCAATCAGAAGTTGATCGGGCGTAATCTTACCGATGGAATGAACGCTACCCTTCAGGTACAGACTAACGGTGACCCAAGCGGTGGTCTCTATGCTGTATGTTAACTTCTCTTTCTTCGTCCATCTTGGCTCTCAGTGGTGCTATACTAATGCAATACAGTGCTCCGATATCCAATTCTCCTCCGACGTCACATACCAAACACCATCTGCCTGTACCAACAACACAAACCTCGTTGCCACCGCTTTCACTGGAGCTTCTGCTTCACGTAATGCCAACGAGTCTACTTCTGATGGTCAAGCGCAGAGCGGATCCTCTTCCACCACTTCCACTTCCACTTCCAAGGGTGCTGCTGTGCCGATGCAAACCGCCGCTTGGGGAGTTCTTGGCGCCGCTCTCGTCGGTGGCATTGCTGTGCTGTAAAATTAGATTCTTCGATTCTTTGCTCTATTTGTCTTTAGTCTCGGAGTTTAGCGATGCATAATGAACAATGATATCTTCGCTCATAACAAAACAATCAAAATTGTGTTTCTTGCTATGTTACAGCCACGTTCCTCACAAAAACAGTATTCCAACTACCATCCTACCTAGTTATTCTGGTAGATATCTGTGACACAGTGATGAAGCAACTCCATACCAGGTCAACCCCCAGACAGCACTCATTTGTAGAAACTGAGTACTCGATGATTTTCTACGATAAACCCACTCGAACAAAATAACCTTCTGCCTAGCTAGGATGCTACAAGAGACCCAGCTAATAACCTGGCCGTGGTTACAGGATACCTGCTATCGTGGTTGCCTTTTTTGTGTCTATCTCTCTTCGCTTGGGTATAGGAAACGAACATTGCTTTGATGATTCTTCGACGATCTTGCAGAACGAATAGGGTGGCCATTTGTGAAGCAGTTGCTTTGGCAAAATGATAAATATCTATAAAATCCAGTCTTCCATTGTCGCCCTTTCACAGCAGCAGAAGAATGCCTTTCGATGGGTATAGTATAGAGTGTCACGTGTGCGGGTAGATTGACATATATCAACCAATTAGGAAAATAGATCAGGGGCCAGCCTCCGAACATTCTAGGCATCCAACAAGCAAGAAAGAAGAGCGACCTTTTTTCTGGGTGCTGACCATATTCTATCATGGAGAACCTCGAAATATTACGCCCTGTTGGTAAGTACATGTAGATCCCTGTCAAAAAACGGTCGGGAATCTTTTCCGAAAGTCAACAATGCCTAACCCCAGTCAGGTCGATTGGAACAATATTCAACGTCGCGCCATCAGGTCGGGTTTTATTTAAATGTTGCTGTATCAGCAACTTATTTCCTACCAGATTCATTCGTGCTTCCTATCAAAGACTATGTCTATCAGGCATGTGAGGCTGCAATAGCTCAACATCCGTCGCTATCCGCCATCGTGGCAGACGACCACACACAAGACCCCTATTTCGTGCGGCTGCCAGAAATTGATCTCGACCAAGTTGTATCTTTTCAGGACAGGAAGCCAGGCTTACTAGCTACCGAAACCGATGGCGAGCCTACTCCAGATCTTGACTTGCAAACCTTGCTTGCAACCCAGCACAACACTCCTTTCAGGGCTCCAAATCCCCTCTGGAGAGTCTGTGTCCTGTTAGATATAGAGTATGAGCGACAATTTACTGTGGCATTCGTGTATCACCACGCCATTGGCGATGGAACCTCCGGGAAAGCCTTTCACCAAACCTTCCTACGAGCCCTGGGGTCAATGGACTCTTCCGACCGGACTAAATCCATCATCAAGTCACCGCGGGTCCCTCTCTTGCCAAACATTGAGCTTGTGCACTCAATGTCTCTTTCCTTGTTCTATCTTGCCAGGAAAATATTCCAGGCAAAGATCTACTCCCGACGGCCCACGGGTCTATGGACCGGCTCCAAGGTTCTAGTCCCCTCTCAAACTCGGCTACGGCTCGTGCCATTCTCCAAACTACTCGTCGGAGCAATAAGAGACAGGTGTCGACAAGAGGGTACGACGATCACCGCACTCCTGCAGACAATCGTCGCCCGCTCCATATTCGCACATATCCCGCCTGAGTTCACGCAGCTCGCCTGCACCGGTGCACTCTCAAGCCGGCGCTGGCTGCCAGACATTATCACTGATGAGTCAATGGGCGTCTGGGTCCAGGACTACGAGGAGACATATTCACGGGAGACAGTCGCTCCGTCTGAGGGCTCCTTCCCGTGGGAAGAGGCTAGACGATCTCGTAAGACGATTCAGTCTGTCTTGCAAATGGAAGGGAAAAATGCTAGCACGAGTCTGCTGCAATTTGTCGATGATTTTCAGGAGGAACTGTGTTTGTCCAAAGTTGGCAAGGACCGCGATAAGAGCTTTGAAGTGTCAAATGTTGGTGTTTTGGACCCGCAAACAAAGTCAGACCTACCAACTATCAAAGGGATGGTCTTTTCGCAGTCTGCCAGTGTGATGGGTAATGCCATTGAGGTATCAGCTGTCACTGGGGGAGATGGGTGTTTGGTGCTGGCTGTCTCTTGGCAACAAGGGGTTGTGGAGGCTGATCTCGTCAATAAGGTCATTGAGTCGACTAAGCAGGAGTTATACTCTATTGAAGTGGTTTAATCACTGGGCGTCATTAGCACTTGAGTGAAGCCTTTATAATGTTTAATAATGCATCCCGAGGTCCCAAGGTCCATAGAATGGATGAGCTCATTTTCAAAAGCTGTTATCGAATGGGCGGTGAGATGGCGATAACGTCTGCGGCAGAAACGTGGGGAAACAACAGTTCGAGAAATCTCTCCAGTTTCCTTTAACCCAAACTTCTTTTTAAATCTCATACCATATATTAACTTTCAAGATGACGCGTGGTCCGTACATCGTTCCGGCGCTCACGAAGCACACCGCTACTGTTATCATGGCCCACGGGTTAGGAGACAGGTAAGTGTTTCGCCAGAAGAAGATAGACGATAGTATCAAGTCTAACAGTGTTTGAATACAGTGGCGCCGGATGGTATGGAAATTCCCATCAATCACCCAGCTTAGGCTACTGAGCCTCACTTCTGACCATAAAAATCCAACAGGATGTCCCTTGCCCAGACCTGGCGCCGCCGCGGCAAGTTCGACGAGGTGGCCTTCATCTTTCCGAATGCGCCCGAGATTCCGATCACAGTTGTATGTGAGCCTCATATCTATCATCAGTTTAATGTTGATTGACCAAATCTTGATTAGAACTTTGGTATGAGCATGCCCGGATGGTACGACATCACCAAGCTTGGCGGCGACGTGAGTTCATTCCCAAAATCCCCGAACAAACTCACAGCGCTAACTATCATCTCCTTCTATCTAGTTGGACTTCGAAGAAGCCATCCGCACCCAAGATGAACCAGGAATCCTCCGCTCCCGCGATTACTTCAATAGCCTCATCGAGCAAGAGATGAAAAAGAACATCAAGGCATCACGTATCATCCTGGGCGGGTTCTCCCAGGGCGGTGCGATTTCCCTGTTCGCCGGTGTGACCAACAAGGAAAAGCTCGGCGGTGTCTTTGGTCTGTCATCCTACCTGCTATTGAGCGACCGAATTAAGAACTACATGCCCGAAGAATGGGCCAACAAGAGGACACCGTTCTTCCTTGCCCATGGTGTCGAGGATAACGTTGTTCCATTCGCCTTTGGAAAGGGCTCGGCGGCTAAACTTAAGGAGCTCGGCCTAGAGAATGTTTCCTTCAACCAATACGAGTATGTTTCTTGGTTGCTGTTGTTCCGGTTTGTTCCGGTTTACTAACTTGAATATAGAAATCTTGGTCACTCCGCGACCCCCGAGGAAATTGATGACCTAGAGAACTTCATTGAGAAGGCTCTCGCTGCTGGAGAAGAGGGCAATCCTTCTGCTGGTTTATGACTTGGTCATGATCAGAGTGAGAACATTGAAAATAGCCTTTGGGGATATACCTTGATCATAGGATTCGTGGTGCTGCTTGCTGCTGTTATCTGGTCTAGATATCAGTTGTCAAAACAGAAGCAATCCACGCAGAAGCAGCATTAATAACTCCAGCCCGAGTCCACTTTCGGGGTACATAACAATGCAATTCAAAGATCCCAGTCTGGCATACCCTAGAAGCCAACAATACTGCGTAGTTTGGCAGGATGGGGTTCCTCTCATATTGCTCAATTGCATAGCTAATAGTCATAGGGAATTGGATAGGATCGGTCCTATAGACGAAGTTATAGGTCGGGGCCTGCTACTAAGTAGGATACGGTGGTCAATGCTGTCACTTCGTTGGCCGGCGCACCCGTTGATACCTACTAAGTGACGGTATAAGTGTCTCACACAATCTCACTAATAAAAAGAATCCATTTACCATCTATTAATCAGACAGACGTGTCGAATACCTGGAAGAGGCGAATAGAGGGCCTAATCAGCGCGTGGAGAACCTTCTTCCCCAACAGTGAGGACATAATGTCCTAACCCTGTGAGCCAAGACAATGTGACCTCACTTCACCATCCTTCGGAGCTTATCTAACACGATTCATGGAGACAAAAAGTCCATTAACACCATTCACGGGCGAGCTATTGTGGTCGAAAATCAAAACGCCAGCAACAGCTACCGCAGAACAATACAACAACGGGCCTGATAATGCCTGTGAGTTGATCTGGACCGATCATACAAATTACAAGCCCACTGCTGGGATCGGCGAGCAGATGGCTACAGTTTTGATACCTACGTATGTGTTGGTACCGCTGCGTTCATTATCGTGTCTATGAAAGATTTCTACGCATATTTCCTGCCAATCTTGTATTTTAAGGACAAGACTTAATAACGAAGCATTGTATGCTCCATCCGCTCTTCAAGTTTCTCGCGAAATTAAGCAGCATGCTTTTGTTGTATATTTGTGTACATATTCTATCAAAATGGTCAACAGTCCCAATCACAGAGGCTGTAGGCCTATTTTCAACAATTCTGTAGCTTCCTTCGCGAAAGGAGCAAGAAGTAAAACTATCAAATCAGTTTTATTCACATGTACTTTGCCAGCGATTTTGCCCCTAGGGCTAGGGGATACTTCCACCAAGCACCAAATTATGAACTCGGGGCCCTGATAAATACTACCTAATGTCCTAGCTTATTGACCGATTGGCAAGTATGTCTTCTAGGTGGTGGGTGCATAGGCGAGTAGTATTCTATATAAACTGCAGAGAACTCAATGCCGATATAAATGTATATAGTTCTGCCAGCCTGTAGAGCTAATAATGATAAACTATCTAGCGTATATGGCACAAACCCTCTAGCTAATTGAGCTATATGGATAACCTCCAAGAGGATTCGCCGTCTACTACCCCAGCTATCGCTGCAACGGCATCCAACGAGGTAGCCAAGCAGGCAGCCTGGTCCATCCGCTGCAGATGCGCGCACTTATCCTAGCACCTGGCCGGTCTGGCGTAGACCTAGAGAAACCCTGAAATGATAATGTGTAGATATATATGCGTGCAATTGCCGTAGGTGGAACGAGATTTGCTTTTAGATTATGGTATTGAAGAAACACACTTCGGAAGTCGGTAGTTGTACATTGATATAAGCCTCCAATATTGAGGCAGTAGATGCAAAGATGAGGGAAGAGTCGCAAACGTATCGTACAGCCAATAAAAATCATGACATACACCCAGGGATAGGTATCCAAGATTGCAGATAGTGCAGAAACTTCGAGCCCTCGAAGCCCCGGGATGGAAAATAACAGTTGTGGAAGGAGCGATTGGGTCAATGGCGGGAGAGGCGGAAGGCTGAAGATGTAGGTAGATCAAATTCTCTGCGCGGACACAGTAGGATCACATATAAATGGTCGAGGGGCGATGGTTTTAGTCGGGAGATCATTTTTCACCCAGCATCTCCTTGCGCATCTCCTCCCGTTGTGTTCGCGTTTGTTCCTTCTCCCGTGCGCGTTGTGCCTCCAACGCTGCTCGCTTCTGGTCCAATTCTTCTTGAGCGGCGTACCAGACTAAAAAAATTCGAGTCATGACCATTAGCCACCAATGCACTTCCAGGCCTGAGCGAACCCGATTTCGCGGAGAGCGGAGATAATCTCTAGGGTAAATTGCAAGTGCATGACATACTGGACTTATCGGACTTAGACCACTCCTTCAGCTTACTGACGTAGTCATCGAATTCCTGCGCCTTGCGGTTCCCCTGTTCGGCGCTGCGCTTCTGCAGATCCGGGTTGTATCGCTTCCTAAGCTCTTCGTCGGAGGGTCGGAGGTATTCAACAAAAGCGGGACCACCGACGACCATAAGGAGGCCACTATGGTGACAACCGAATGTAAGCGCGAGTCTTTGGCACGGTGCAGAGGCGTGTATCACTTACCCGGCTATGGTCTTCGCCCATAATCCGGCGCGAGACATGGTGAATCCGAAGGTCGGATGTTGATTACCGATTCGAGACGTTCGGTATGACGATGTGTTTCTCGGATGACTCGGGGAGATATAACTAGAGATTGCTGAGACCGATGGAGATCATCAACATCATCGCGGCTCTCATTTGCTGTTGGAGGCGGCGTGGCGCAGCCGATGTGGCGCAGTACGCCTTGCCCGATCGAGCATGTCTCACGTTTTCGTGTTCCAAGGTTTCTTCCCCACACTTTTATTCACCTTTGTCACTTTTTTACTGAAGGTGACGTGTTTATGGAGGTGTTCTGAGACAGAGGTGGAGTCTGTTATGTTCTCATGTACTATCCACCTACTTACAAGGTCCATACCTCCGAGGTACCGCATTTTACAACCTTAGGCAGCCCTCCAGGGGTGCCCGATTGTAGTCCACGGGGTCCACGGGTGGGCACAGGGTCTACTTTAGTCATCATTGTTTGAACTCCAAGTTTTGGGCCCGGGCAGCTTCATGAATTTGGATGGCAGAATGGCAGGTATTATGGACCATAGTTACTAGCGAAGCACAAGTGGATGCCAACAAAGTCCCGTCGGCGTTGAAATTGATTGTGATGGGCTTGCAGGACGAGAAAGTCTGCAGGACCCGGGCCCCAGCTTCGAACACCCCCCTGATCGTCAGGCACCGGGTGGGATTAATTTCCATCGGGCTGTACGGAGTACCTTCATATACAATCATGGAACACTGCCATCACTAATAACATTGAAACTATACATTGTGTCAGAGTATTCAAGAGAGTGTGTTGTCGATATACAAAGTATGTCTTAAAATGGAAATATAATAATATAATAATAGGAGAAGGGGTGTATGGGTGTATGGGCGTATGGGCGTATGACGGCACTGAATTTTCCATTCAAATCCACTCAGAAAATGAACCAAATGTAGTTAGTCTAAAAGGCACAAAAGGAGATTGGATACCCATATTAAAAAAAGCATGAAAAGCATAAAAAGTATGAAAAGATGAAAAGTGTCTCTCGGTGTGGGTCAAGTGTTTAATTTAAAGGTCACCTGCTCCGACCGCCCCTAAATCATTCTGCCCCCCGCTTGATTTACTTTAAACTTCTTGAATTCATTTTGGACCGGTGTGGCTCCTGACTCCCTCATGTGCTTGATCAGCTTGCGACAGGCTTGTTGGTCACTGTGATTTGGCATTGTGCGAGGTAAGGATCGGTGTGGAGTCCGGTTGCCTTCATAGGGTATCCATGGACCGTGAAATGAATGAGCTAACTCCGAATTGCAGCCCTGGAGCCCTGGAGTTTACCGATTTGTCCCCCTCCTTGCATGCGACCACCCACGAGATTTGCACCGTGAACGACTCCCGAAGACTACTCGAATCACCATTGTATAGTACGCTTATCGGCTTGCGCCATGTCATACCCCCAGCAACATCAAGCGCAGAGGCCGCCGCCTTTGCGACAATACAATAACCCCCTCCACGTTCTGTGACATCGCCAGGAGGATATTCGCAAGATGGCTCCCAAGGAGGATACAGCGACGGTGGCATGAGTAGCCGTAGCTACCAGCAGGCTGACCCTGGCTACGACGATGCGCCATACAGTTTCCAGTCTAGCTCCTCCGGTTCGCAACCATATGCTGCTACGCAATCTCAGCCACGCTCGATGCGCCCACCGGGTCCACCAGGTCCGGGAAATGGGCGACCTCCAGGCCCTGGATACGATGATCGGCGTGGCTATCCTCCTGCTCCTGGTGGAAGACCACCGCCGCAATCGCGATCAAGAACACGTATGTAAATTCAAACAGCGACCGCAAAGCGCCTACTAACCGACTTCAAGCTGGTGGACGCCCACCCCCGGCGGTACCTTCGACAACCCCTTTCCCTCTTTTCCAGGCCGAGACCCCAGAGATCCGAGGGCCCCGCGCGACCCGCGCGACCCCCGAGACCCCCGAGACCCCCGAGACCCTAGAGCTCCTAGAGATCCTCGGGATCGGCGCGGTCCGCCACCTCGAGGGCTAGAGCAAGATATGGCTGCAATGGACATCAGTGGCAGGGGGCCCGCCTAGGCCGCACACTTCTAATTCTAATGGAAGACGGCCAGACATGCGACAGCCGCCCCCACGCGGACCTCCACCAGGACGGGGCCGAGGTGGCTATCCAATGGGTCCAGTGCGGGCAGCTAGCTCAGGCAGATCAGATCGACCTGGTAGAGACTATCCAGACTCCATGGGCCCATCTATGCCTCCGCCACCAAGAAGCGCAACGATGCCGCTCGCCCCAGGCGCACCATTCGCGCCAGCCGCGCCCCTCTACCCAGGCCAGTCGACCTACCAAGAAACAGATTACCCAGCGAGCTCTATGGCCGAACCCCCTATGCGTCCTAATACCGCTGGAAGCATGCGACCCCCACGATCTCGTGCCCCCAACGATATAGACCCAGGCCTAATGATCCCCCCGGCCGGATTGATGATCCCCCCGGAGCCTGCCAATCGTGTTTCATATGCGCCCAAGGAATTTCTGGACAGCTATTATGACTCCAATGGTGCCGCAGCCGATGAACCCGATATGCCTAATTTCGATGCCATGCCAGACCCCCAACATCACGCCCCGATTGATGAGATGGGCCTAGAAACAACACCGGTTAAGAGACCAGTTCATGGGCCGAATTCTCCACCTGGGGACTACTCGTATCCTCCCAACGGGGTGGAGGCTATGCGCTCCCAATCTCAACCAAATTTCCAACAAGCGGAGGGTGCCAATCAGTTTGAAAATGCGGGATTTCAGTTTGGCATTCCTGGAGAGACTTCCCTTGCCCCCGCTTTCGACCACTCAAACCCTGCAGGGTATGCGTCGAATGGTTACGAAGATTACGCCGGTTACTCGCATGGTCCGTCCCCCGTCCAGACTAACCAACCAGGCTATCCCCACGACCAGGCCGAGATGTCAGATCCTCACCAAAATCCCGATGCTCTTCCTCACCATCCAGCCCCGTTCCGCCTCGGCCATGATCAAGGGCCAAAGCCTGCGCCGGTTCGGCAGTATAACGCTCCTGAAACCATACCGGCCCCCCGCTGCTCCACAGCCAGCGATGGTGCCCGGTGGAGCGGCTCAGACACCAGTCACAATTGAAGAAATACAGCGCCTGCAACAGCAGGCGCGAGGCAATCCTTCTGATCAGAAGACTCAACTTTTACTCGCCAAAAAGCTGGTCGAGGCATCCACAGTTCTAGTAGGGGACAACAGCAGACTCGACCCGAAAACTAAAGCCAAGGCCAAGGAGAAATATGTGATGGATGCGCATAAGATTCTCAAAAAGTTGGTTACAGCCGGATACTCTGAAGCCCAGTTTTTCCTGGCTGACTGCCACGGCGAGGGCCTACTGGGCCTAGAAGTCGACCCCAAAGAAGCCTTCTCACTGTACCACTCTGCCGCGAAACAAGGTCACGCACAGTCTGCATACCGTGTGGCTGTATGTTGCGAGATCGGTCAGGAGGAAGGTGGCGGTACCAAACGTGATCCATTTAAGGCCGTTCAATGGTACAAGCGTGCCGCTGCACTCGGTGATACACCCGCCATGTACAAAATGGGAATGATTAATCTAAAGGGACTGCTCGGTCAAGCTCGAAACCCCCGGGAGGGTGTATCATGGCTCAAGCGGGCGGCTGACCGGGCAGACGAGGAAAATCCACATGCTCTCCACGAGCTTGCCCTCATGTATCAGAACGCCGGAGGCAATGACATCATCGTCCGCGACGAGCAGTATGCCTCCCAGCTATTCCACCAAGCTGCCGAGTTGGGCTACAAGTTCTCTCAATTCAAACTTGGTACTGCCTACGAATACGGCCTCATGGGATGCCCCATTGACAACCGCACGAGTATAATCTGGTATACTCGTGCAGCAGCGCAGGGTGAACACCAGAGTGAACTTGCCCTTAGTGGCTGGTATCTCACCGGATCAGAGGGCATTCTATCGCAGAACGACACCGAGGCCTATCTGTGGGCTCGTAAGGCCGCCACCGCAGGTCTTGCCAAGGCAGAATACGCTATGGGATATTTCACCGAGGTCGGAATTGGCTCTGCTGCCAACCTAGACGACGCAAAGAGATGGTACTGGCGTGCAGCTGGTGAGTCGACTTCCCTTTGACTGTTTTTCGCTTCAACCTCAGCTAACTTTTTTAACTTTTTAGCCCAAGGATTCCCCAAGGCTCGTGAGCGTCTTGAAGACCTTAAGAAAGGTGGAAGCCGAATGCAAAAGACTCGTCTCTCTCGCTCGGCTGTTAACAAGCAGAGTGATGGGGACTGCGTTCTCATGTAATCGGATATTTTCGTCCTTTTGTGATTTGCCACACTTTAGATGTGGCTTGCATGTATCCATTTCCCCTGATGATCACCGGCACTTGATGTATTCCCCCGGTCAAGAACGCTTCTTTTCTACCGATTACTTTATTTTCTTATACTTTTCTTATTCTTTTCTTATCCTTTCAATTCCCTTCCTTGATTCGAATTGCTCTTCTTTCCTCCTTTTTCCTCTTCTTTCTTCCCCCCCTCCCCTTTCTATTCTTATTTATTTTTTAACGAATTGGATGTGCATGACTGGAACGGATACGATGCAGCCGATATCCTTGAACTGGTTGTAGTGTTGTATTCATTAATAGATTGTTGAAAGACTTCAATACGTGCACAAATTGACAGTGTTGTAAATATTTGAAATAGTCCCTCCAGATATCAGATATCCGTAAATCCGAGCCAATGCCATAGGCGGATATATGAATTGTCAGCGGGTGAATTCCGCACTGACACACAGCTTATGGATTCAATTTCCAATGCTCGGCCTTATAATCGGCTCCCTGCGCTTCTGAAAGCATCTAATTATTCAGCTTTAGTTCTACGGTAGTAGGTTCTCGAGTTATTTTTGTCTTTATGTTTGGATATAAGAGGACTGCTATTCGTTGAGTTTTGGAAAGTAGTACATTGCCAGCTACATCCCAAACAATCCATATATGTCTTCCGAATCAAGCCGACATAACGACTCGGAAACACGAACACCAAATTCATTAAGCACACACAAACTCACTCTCATCTCTCTTTTGACTGTCCTCGCGGCTATACTCATTACCCTATTCTGGGGAGACACCGCCAATCTGTTCGGTCTCCGACGCCTTTTCGGATCTTCCGCGCGCTCAGCGGCAGAACCTCTATCAGCCTCAGCATCTGTGGCAGCAGCTGCGACACTGAAGGGACAATCCGACACATTCACTAGCGATCACATACAGCCCGGCATGAGGACACCCATTTACTTCCTCAGCCATGGCGGGGTAAGTTATCTATATCCTGGTTCTTACTATAGACTAAATGCTGACATGATACTCACTAGCCAAACATCATGTACGAACCCGACCACCCAGCCTACCGCAAGCTCGGTGAGATCGGGCGCGAGATAACCACCAAGGTCAAACCGAAGGCTGTGGTAGTATTCTCGGCGCATTGGCAAGCCGGTCGAGATACGATCCAGGTGAATACCGCCGAGAAGACAGATCTGATCTATGAGTATGTTTCATATCAAAATCCCAGCGACTATCCTGTAAATTCCGTACTAATTGGATTCAGCTTCGGTGGCTTCCCAAGCCATTACTATAAAGAAAAGTACCCACACGTGGGTAGCAAGGAGGTAGCGAATGAAGTATTGAGGTTGTTGAAAGAAGCCGATATCCCGGCCGAGGGGGTGAAGCGTGGACTTGACCACGGCGTCTGGGTTAGCTTCAAGTGCGGTATGTGACAGTTTGCATCAAAACAATAATCCAATGCTGACTGAGGACAATACAGCTTTCGAGCCAGACTCAAACCCACTGAACGTTCCCATCGTGCAAGCATCGCTCTTCCAGACCGAGGATCCAGACCAGCACTACCGACTCGGACAGGCAGTTGCGAAGCTTCGCGAGCAGAACATTCTGATCGTCGTGTCCGGAATGGCCGTGCATAATCTGCGCGATCTGCGGTTTGCTTTTGGCAGTTCGACCCCGATGCCGTATGCTGTTAGCTTTGACAAGGCGCTCAAGGATGCTGCGACGACTGCGCCGGCTGAACGGCAGAAGGCCATGGCTGAGCTGCTGAAGAGACCAGATGCACGCCAGGCTCATCCTTCCTTTGAGCACCTGCTGCCTATTCATATTGGGGCTGGTGCTGCGGGCGAGGATCTGGGTAAGAGGATCTGGACATTCCCGGAGGGAAGTATGAGCTGGGCGCAGTATCGGTTTGGCGAGGTTGGCAATGCTAGTAGCACGTTATGAGAGATAGCATCAAGTCATCACTAGAAGCAATTGAATTGGATTTGTTTTGGATATGAGCTTCGATTTCATCTATAGGTACAGAAGATGGATGTAGAACGGTGGGAACGCGGGGGCATAAAATAGATCTGCAGGGAAAACAAAAAGAAGTTATAGCTGCTGCTTCACCAACTGTGTAATGCGCTCTTCGATCTGGGCGTCCGAGAGGCCTAAAAACATTAATTAGCATTGCAACTTGATGCAAAATTATCGTTGGCGGGGGATATTTACCGGACAACGCTTCCTGCTTCTCCTGGCCGAAAGCTATTAAGAGGAACCGATCGCGTTAGCCTGACTCGCTTATCCAAAGAGCCCACACAATGGGTTTGTAGGTGTCCTGTCATACCATATCGGGCATAGACTCGAGGCTGGGTGCCGGCGGCCTCGCGCATCATGATGGGAGTCTGGGGGTTGTGCTTCTTCATGGTCGGGTAGGCGCGGTTCAGGAAAGACCTATAGGCACAGAAGAAGGTCAATCAATAAGCTGAACCCCAATCCGTCTTGGGTTGGGGTGTACGCACCTTGTGGCCGCGCTCGCTTCGGAGGTCTGGCAGAAGAGGAAGCGGAGCTCCTTCAGGCCCTGAGTGAAAACGTACTTGCCAGACATGGTGGTAGGATTGTCAAGCAAATGTAAGGATTAGGGAGATAGAGGTCTCGGATGAGCCACGGGAGGATGAGCGTGGGAACAGTGGAATTGACTTGCTAGACAGTCTGCGATGCAGTGCATTATTCACGACGGCGTTGATTCGCTGCGCAGAGCCATAATCCCGCTAGTCCCAATATCAACTAGCGCGATATGCTTACATCAGCTTCAACATCTGAAGCGTCATAGTGAGCGACAGCGCAAGAGAGATAGTAAGCGAGGGAAAATTAATTGGAATAGACTATACTCATTGCTTGAGAGTAGACTCTTTGTCTTCTATAGACTATATTTTTATCTGCCTGAGGTTGTGGTGGTTAATTGCCCTATCTAGCCTCCCCAACGGAAAACTCCCCCTTCCACCGATCACCGGACGACCTTCCCTCTTCCCTCTCACTAAAACCACCATCCCAGCTATCACCATGTCGTCTCGCGTGGGTTTCCGCTTCGTGAACAACGCTCGCTTTGCATTCCGCAATGGCTCCGCACCATTCCGCCGCCCGGGTGCCCAGGGCTTCCGCTGGCAGAGCTCCGAAGCCGGTGCTGGTGAGCAGCAGAGTGCCTTCCAGCGCCTATGGAACAGCCCTGTCGGTATGAAGACTGTCCACTTCTGGTAAGGATTGTTAAGCATTCTGCATACCCTGTGTCTTTTGCTACCACGAACTGATGCTAACTTCTGTTTTGCAGGGCCCCGGTTATGAAGGTACGATAACTCGATTTTCTCGTCCGATATGCCATCTATACCCCCCAAGCACCCTTCCGGACACAATACCTCTATCGAACGCTGCTATATCTTGCGAGCATTTCCCATGTACTTGCTGAGCACTATGGCTAATATATATCCCTACAACAGTGGTGTCTTGTCATCGCCGGTATCTCCGACTTCGCTCGTCCCGCCGAGAAGCTCTCCCTCACCCAGAACGCTGCTCTGATGGGTACTGGTGCCATCTGGACTCGCTGGTGCCTGATCATCAAGCCCCGTAACGTCCTGTATGTGGAACCTGATAGCAGACCCGCAGGGCATCAATGCTAACACGATATAACTCTGTAGGCTCGCCGCTGTGAACTTCTTCCTCGGATGTGTGGGTGCCGTCCAGGTGACTCGTATCTTCCTGTGGCAGCGCAGCCACTCTGATTCAACTCTCGAAGCCGCCAAGGAGATCGAGCACGAGGCTGTTGACTCCGTTAAGGCCACCGCCGGGGCGGCCGAGGGCGTCGTGAAGAAGGCTATCGAGAAGTCGACTTAGATGGGAAATGGATTCTATGGTGGCGGTAGGGGAGCTTGAAAAGAGTGTTCCTGAATACATCTAGACCAGTATCTATAGGAACCTCTTACCTGCGCTGAGGTGGGTCTTTAGGAGGATTTTGGGGTTGGGTGAGCTCGCTCGTTTGAGATAATCGTTGTTTTATCTCCTCTGGGCTGAGAACCTGCTCCTTTTATTGGACAGCTGTTGTACATATAAAGCATGTTTTGAAGTGATTGGTTACTGTTCCTTCTGCGAGATGTGGCCGAGAATTCCCAAGAATTTTAGTAGCATTTGGCTTGTAAACCTAACCATCCTCTGATTAGTTGTTGCTATTCAGAAAACTATAACGCACATGATATGTATATTAATTTTTTTTAAAAAAAATACATTGGATTTACAACACAGGGAGAGTCTACTGGCTCTATTCAATTTATCCGGGATTTTCCTCCCAATCGGGGAAATCGTGCCAGATATTCCTCCTATCAGACTTACTTGAGGACCACCCTCACGTAACGCGAGTCAATTTACCCCCGGTCCGCTTTTCCACGAGACAGAAGCTCACCATACAAGCCATGGCTATGCCCCGGTTTCTCCACACATTGCGGAGTCATTAGCTCGTTTCCCCGGAGCAAATTAAACAAGATGGGGTTACCCCATCTCTTGACCGCCAAGGGCGCTGCTTAGCGTTGATCCTAAGCTTCATCGGAGTAACAGGGGAAATAAATTGCCAATGGCGAGACTATATATAAGCTGTCTTGGAAGTCTCCGAACGTTATCTTTAATCGAGAAGATTGCCAATCCAACTAGGAGCCCCTAGATTCCGTTGACCCTAGATTCTCTTGACACCAACGATGAAGATTTCAAATACTTTGACCCAGGCCTTGGGGCTTTTTTTGTCAATTAGCACCACAATTGAGGCTAAGGACTACTCTCGAAGCGAGGCGTGCCACCCCAACCATCCATTCAAGCCCCTTCCGGCCAGCCATGCCAGGACTCGCACCTGTCATGTAGCCAACCATGGCCATGGACGTGATGATTCAGCCAACGTTCTTACTGCATTGAAGAAATGCAACAATGGAGGAAAGGTCATCTTCGATGCGGGCAAGACATATACGATTGGAAAGGCACTTGACATGACTTTCTTGAAGCATGTGGATCTCGGTATGTAATGCGCGTTGGAGCTCGGTACGAGACGAGTGAGTACTTACGCAAGCTGTAATAGAAATCCAGGGCCATGTTCAATTCAGCAATGACACAGATTACTGGCAAGCAAATGCTTTCAAGCAGATCTACCAAAACGCCACAACGTTCTTCCAGCTCGGTGGTGAGGATGTCAATGTCTACGGCGAGGGCACCCTGGATGGTAACGGTCAGGTCTGGTATGACTTATATGCAGAGGATGCCCTCATCCTGCGGCCAATTCTGGTGGGTATAATCGGGCTAAATGGAGGTACCATTGGACCTCTCAACCTTCGTTACTCGCCTCAGTGGTATCACTTCGTGGCCAACTCATCCAACATCCTCTTTGACGGAATTGATATCACTGGGTTCAGCAGCAGCGCGCATGAGGCTAAGAACACGGATGGATGGTAAGTCCAGTTGCATTAAAAGAGGAGCTAGCTGCAGTTAACTAACACCTTCAATAGGGACCTCTATCGTTCGACGAATATTGTTATCCAGAACTCTGTGATCAACAATGGAGATGGTATGGTTCCCTTAAAAGACTTCACCCAACCTTCTTTACTAACTATACCAAAGATTGTGTCTCGTTCAAGCCCAATGTTACCGACATTCTGGTTCAGAACCTTCATTGCAACGGCTCCCACGGTATCTCCGTTGGCTCTCTGGGACAATACCCAGGCGAGGTTGATATTGTGCAGAACGTGCTCGTATACAATATCTCTATGTTCAACGCATCAGTAAGTCTAGTGACGCGGGTAAGATATTCACGTTTCTAACAATATTATGAAGGATGGTGCGCGTATCAAAGTCTGGCCTGGGGCTTCCGCTGCGCTCTCTACCGATCTCCAGGGCGGCGGCGGATCGGGCCTGGTGAAGAACATTACCTACGACGGCATGACCATTGACAATGTCGACTATGCGATCGAAGTGACCCAGTGCTATGGCCAGAAGAATCTGACTCTCTGCAACGAGTTCCCCGTACGTCTCTCTCTATCAATCTCCTTGTCATTACTTTGATAGCGTCACTATCACTGGTTTCTGGTTGCCGAAGACTAACTAACACATACACCACACAGAGCAAACTTGCCATCGAAGATATTGTCTTCAAGAATTTCAACGGTGTCACCTCTGGTAAACGTGACCCTTATGTGGGAACGATTGTCTGTTCAAGTCCCGATGTAAGTCCTCGAGCACCACAGACTATAACTCACCAACTGACTTGTATAGGTTTGCTCAAACATCAACGCGAGTAACATTGACGTTGTTAGCCCCGATGGGGATGATCAGTTCACTTGCACAAATGTGGGTTTATCTTGAAAATTGGCGTAACTCTGACAAGACATTTACTGACCTATTTCCTCTATCTTTAGGTTGATAACGATTTGCTGGATGTGAAATGTGCTTCCTCTAGCTAGAGAAATCAGCCTCAAAATAATAGTTAGAGTCTTGTTGGCAAATAGAACAATCAATCATGATATTTCGATATAGACGACTATCCCCCCCCAACGGGAACAACATATATGCGATCTGCAAGCGTCAGCTATAATTTGCCATTGTCAACCGCTCTTGTACTTTATATACTGGTTGCCGGGTACAAGTTACCCTGCAATGTACTCGAAACCCAATCTCCGTGACTCGAAATGTGAGTTGCCCCGAAGAGGTCACCGCGAAGCCTGTACCTGTTCGATAGTAGAGACTTGTTTCTGAAAATCCGAGTGTTTCTCTCTTTCTCTCTCTCCCGCTTGTTCACTTATTCCACGCATGGACAAACTACCTCGAGATATGCGTATGATGGCATTTCCCGCGTGCATCCGTAGTACATTATAGTAAAAATATATACAATAGAACCGATGTATAGGTTTATATATTCGAAGTTTTACATCCAATTGAAGCCCTCCATGTTGAAAGACCAAGTTAATTCGTCATAATTAAAATGCCTTGGATCTGTCCAACTCTAAACCCTAATTGATTTTCTTGTATGCCAAGAATTTAGAACTCCTTCGGAATCGAGATTAGCGGCATCGATACAGTTTGACGCCTCTATCACATATTCCTCCATACAAAGTCGACGATCTTGAATCTCAGGATAGCACTGTAATCCAGACTGCTTCCAATGCATGTTCGCCATCTGCAAACCCATGTACGAACCATGGAATCAAGAAGAATCCAGCGTATAACGCTATCCTGCTCATTTCCTATCTTCCTTCTGTTTCTCCCGTCATGGAAAGCACATTTCATAGTGGGGGGTAAATGGATCTACAGGGGTGGAAAGGGAGACACAGATATGGCATCATTTCCGGGTATGAATAGATTAGATAGTTTTACAGTTTCAGTTCTAGACCTTATGAAAGATTCAATCTGAAGTTCTTATATGCTTTTTAGTGTATTACTTCTGTAGTATATTATTCAACACTCCAAATGACACACCTACAGTGGCTGGCTGATCAGCTGTATATCTAGGGATGGCGAACTACATGTTAGCGATGCGAGCCATTCTGAACATACATCATATATGCTAATAGTCAATTTGTTTGAAGAACAAATAATACGTTGCCTCAACTACATGCATCATGCATACACGTGTACCGCCGGAGATTTTGTCCCAATATGTGTGCAAATGTGGAGTTTATATGTCGTGATAGTACTATATGTTTTACTATAATATGATAGGTATGGTATGTACTATAAAGCTCTATGTAGGCAGGTATGCAATAGTGGCCAAAGTAACCGCCAGTATATCCTTACCGCAATGCGCTCTCTTTCCTCTCTCTCTCTCTCTCTCTCTCTCTCTCTTCTCTGAATTAGAATCGATTTCATCATGGGGTTCTTTTCTAGCACGCAACTCTGCCAAGCTATGTGCTCATACATCTTCATTTTTAGGCACGGTGTCAGATGTTTCATCCAAATTTTACTGATGACATAGTGGGGGCAGAAGGATTTGCTAGAATTGCTATTAGAAAAAGGATGAAGGGATTTGTTTTTGAGCTCCTCCTTAGTGCATTAGACGAATGAATTGGGTAAAAGCACGAATCCAAATCAAAGACATTTTACTCTATCTTACTTTATTTTACTTTACAAGTTCCCATCTGGTGGATATGGTGAATTGGGTGATATTTTTCCTGGGAGCGAATGACACTTTTCAAGACTCGGGGCCTGCTTCTGTATTCCAACAATGATATTTTTTCTTTTCGAAGACAATTGGACATAGCTACTAGAAAGATGGATGAAGATATTGCATATCAATTTCCCATGTACGGAAACTACGTGCATAGGAATAGGCTAGAATACAGAACCTATGGGCCAGGTCCACCAAAGGAGTTAAAACATAATTTTAGATTTGGGGTAACGAGCTCGAATGAATACAACAGAATCAGAGGTAAAAGGTAGTCCATTAATTACTATTATCAGGAATAGCCCAACAGCTAACTGACTATTAAAGTGGTGCACCTTTAATTACTGGAATCCATTACTGCTGGGCCCGCTTCCATTCATCCTCCAGGTTGGTGCCAATTGCACGAATGGCCTCCTTCTCGAGCTCACGGTGAGAGAGTCCGGTGCGCTTTGAGACCTTGGATTTTGACTCCTCGCGAGACAATTCAACTGTAATCAAACTGTTAGTCATCTTCTATCTAGTATCAACAAATGGAAGGGAGCATACCATGCAGGTAGACAGCGGCTTTCTTGCCAGAGAACATCGCATGTGGGACATTGGTGCTGCCATCGCTGTTGGCATCGCCAACGGCAAAGACACCAGTCTCACTGGTACGCATACCGCTGGTAACATTGATCTTGTCACCGACGATGCTCAGGTTCATCTTGGCAGGAAGTGTCGAGGT